CAAGTCCGAAAACTTAAGCCCTCCGCCTGATTAAGAAGGGGGTGTATAAGGGGGCTTCTAAGGGAGCGGGTTCAGGGGTGTTGAAACATCCCGGAGACCCCCCCATCGATGCCCCCCCGTCCAAGGTCGAGGCCCCACCGGGCTTGCGCTCCAGCACCTGGCGTTGCCAGTTGCCACACGAGACGAGTCTTCACGAAGCTGGTTTCGGATGCAGCTAAAGCTCGCAATCTTGCTGCTGGCGGCAGCTGCTTGGCAGGAGTTTGTGATTTCTAGGTGGATCTGACGTGTTTTGTTCGGCTTTGGGGTTGAAGATCTTGGAGTCTTTGAAGCTTTGTGATCTTCCTTCAGCCAAGCCTGCCACTCAGAGATCGACGTTACATGTCTCTCGCTCTCTCCCTCTCTCTGCCCCCTTGACAGGGTGAGCATGGACCAAAAAACCATTGAACGGTTTGCATCCCGAAACAAACGACCGTGAAACTTTTGCATGAGCCACAATGGTTGGGTTTAAGGGCGTCGGCAACTTGTGACAGTGGCAAACCATGTCAAACCCTATTTGGGGCACAAAGCCTTCTAAACCACACACCAACCAACAAGCCTGACACTGAAACTGAAGGGTTTTTGGTTTCATGTGCAAATCGGTGGGTGGCCTGCAAACGGGTAAGCAGTGCACGAGCTTTGTCCAAAGCCTGCAGTGGCGGCCTGTCCTTGGCGTTTGCTTAGGGGATATGAAGCTACGTGGGATTTTGTAGGGTTTTGGTGACATCTGGCCGGGCTAGCGAGTTTCTGAATTAGAGCTTGGGACGGGCGTTGGTGCTTCGTACTATGGGAGGCATGCCAATTAAATGCCGCCCTGCCCCCCCCCCCCCCCCACCAATCCCTGAACCCTAAACCCCAAACCTCTGAAGAACTCAAAGCTCCTCACAAATCCCTCGGCCCAAAAGCCTTCCTGTCGAAAGCTGGGGACCGCTCCACCCAAGGAAGGGAGTAGATCTCCTGCGACAAAAATTCTGAGGCAGCTGCACTAGGCATTCCTGGGCTATCTGATCTTGGGCTGCCGAGCCCTGCTCTCAGCCCTATGCATTCTGGTGCTGCTGAGGATTGTAAAGCGTTGAGTGGGAATCGGGTCGCAAGTTATCCAATGTGCATCTCTTCGAGGCATTGGGTGATGCTGCACTGCACGGCAGGTCATCCTGGTTGGTCTTGTGCCCTGCGGTCGCCAGGGACAGGGCCTGAGTTTTGCAGGATTTGCAGGTTGGACGGGCCGCGCGTTGGAGGCATGCAAGGGGAGGGTTGAGGCATGGTTTTGCAGCTTTCAGCGCGAGCCGGCCAAAGTTGCACAAGGCTGAGCTCCAGGCTGTCGTAGCCAGGTCCTCTTTGGGGCTGGCCCAGAACAATTAGGGTGAGCAAAACTGCGGCGTACGTTGATTGCATGCCGTTGACCACCATTGGTTTGTTCGGAGGGTCTCCTCCCGCCGAAGCTCGGGTTCGTCAGTCCGCAAGAGGCCTCGGAATAGAACACAATGCGCGCCACTTCCCGTAACACACGACCTCCGACTTTCACAGCCGAACTTTCCCGCGTGGAGCCCTTTGAATACAACCGAAGCACAGAATGGCCAGTGGCATATTGCATATTCCAAGGCGCCTATGGTGTCTTTGGGTTGGAGATCGTCTCAAGCAGAATAAACATAGCAGAAATGAACACGTCAAAGCCGGCAGAATCTTAACTTTGCTACCATAAGTAGAGATGGCACCTCGCAACATGAGACCTTAAGCCTGCCTTACTTCAGAAAAAAAACCCTAAACCCTAAACTCCAAAGGCTTGAGGTCCTGATGCCGCCCGAAAGTCTTCAGCAGGCAGGTCTGCTTTACGCGCGCTCAGAGGGGTTAGTGTTTTAGGGTAACGGGTTGCCGGTTTATTGTTAAGCCTTCACTGTGTCCTTCCTATATAGGACACAAACTATATATTGTATGTGTTCAGGGTCTCAAGGCATCTTAGAGGGATAGGCTCAAACTCAAGTTTCAGTATCTCAGCTTTGCTCAGGTCAGAAGATCTCAGACGCTAAGTTTAAAAAGAACATCTAGATTTACATTTTCAGACGAACCGAATACCTTAACATAATTTCGGGGAGCATGACAATGTGATCCGGCTCAATAATTTCGGAGTCATTTCGTAAACAAAACACCACAATTCCGGGGGGGTGATGCTTCGTCGGTAATTACAGTAGCATTATTGAAGATCCGCCACAAGGTACAGTTATATATACCCTGCAGACATACAGCGCAAATGCTGGGACCTGGACTTTCGTGCTGCTCCTGCATGGTGCACGCTTAAGAAGTACGCAACATGTGTTCCAGTGGCTGCACGGGGAAGATCTGTTTTATTCCGGCCTCGCTCCACAAGCGGTAGCAAACTCCCTCTGCGACTCCTGCCAGACGAGCAAACGGCGTGCTACGAATTCGGGCTGCGAAGAAGCCATGCAGGCGGGCTGGATATCCAGTTGCTAGCTACCTTCCCCGGACGTGGTTGATGGACGTAAAAACATCTCCACAGCCACTGTCACTTACATAGAAACAAATGTTCAATGCAGCATGGTGTGTGTATGTGCTGTTGTTTTTCTTTACGTGGACGCCCCCTTCCCTACGGACAGACATCCAACAACAAAACGCGTAAGGTATCGTTTTCTTGGTGAAGGTGCCCTAAACCCTAAACCCTAAACCCTATAAACCCTAAACCCTAAACCCTAAACTGCCGTGCAAAAGCTTCCCATCGGCTCAGCCCCGCACGGCCGGCTCTCCCTCGCCCTTGGTGGGTCGCATGGCCAAGAATCCGAAAACCCACTGGGGCTTAGCGAAGTCTGAGGGCAATGGTTAGGGTTTTTTTTTTTTGCCACCCGCCTAGCTGACACTGTGGCCACGTTGCAGGTTTAGGGTTTAGGGTTTAGGGCTTAGGGGGTCACACGTTGATATCTGACCGTGTGGTGGCGGGCCTGTACGTTTTAGGGCATACACGGAAAGCGCTGTAAATTACAGGACTTCGTGCGTGTGGCTGTGGAAATTGAGGGATTCGTGCTTTAGGAAATCCAGGAACTCAAACTTAGGGCACTCATTTTAGCACACCTTCCCCAAGCGATCCAGGATGTTCGCTTGGGGACCAATTGCCAGCGCCAGACCCAGCTGTAGTTGTGTTCGATGAGACGCACATTGTATAAAAGAGGCAAAAATGCCGCAAATAGCAGGGTTTTGGTCATGTTCGCAAAATGGCATGAACGCTTATGACAGTGCCTTGTGTGGCTGAACATCAAACATCCTCCGGCAACATGTTGTACAAAGAGGCAAAAGCGCCGCAAATAGCAGGGTTTTGGGCATGTTCGCAAAACGGCATGAACACGTGTGACAGCGCCCGTTTTGCTGAACATCAAACATCCTCCAGCAACATGTTGCACAAAGAGGCAAAAACGCCGTAAATAGCAGGGTTTGGGGATGGTTAGAGTCAAATGGTCGTAACCAATCCCCCCCCCCTCCCCCCCCCCCTCCCCGCCCCTCAACAGAAGAACACTCTCTCCAGACCGGAAATTTCAAGAAAACCACACGGGCAAATAGCAACGTGTCAGGGCTTAGGGCTTAGGGCTTGGGGCTTGGGGCTTGGGGCTTGGGGGGAGTGTAGCCAAACAAGTCATCGCAGCATCTCAACACTTCGAAGGGCCAATATTCTAGCCTGTCCTAATTTGGGTGTCATGGCGGAAGACCTGAGTCGTCTTCAGAGCGAAGGAACATCCGAATCTCCCCCCAAAGAGTGTACCGGAATCCCCAACACCGATTCAGGCCAAATAAGGCCTAAACTGAAAAGTCCCCCCCGAGCGAACCCCACGTCCAGGAGTTGGGCTTTGATCGGCAGCGGCTTTGGAAACTGGGATCGTCCTCTCGGCTCTGCTCAGCATCAAGTACAACCCTTCCCGTGTGAATAAAGCCTGTAAACTCCGAAGACGCTTGAATTCCAAAACAATTTCTAAACCCCTGGGAGCTCGAAGTGAGGACGGCATCCTTGCACTGATCGGACTCATGAGGCGACCTTGTCAGAAAAACAAAAACTTAGGGTTTAGGGTTTACGGTGCAGGGTTTAGGGTTTAGGGTTCAGGGCTTATAACCCGAAACTTCAACCCTCACTGACTTTCCTAGAAGTTCTTTGAGCCATGTGAGGAAACCTTAAACCCTAAACCCTAAACCCTAGGGGCTCCTCATCTCGCTGAGCGACGTCAGCGGATCCACCGCCTCAACAGAAGGAATGAAGGTACAGGGGTGGTTTCCGAACTTAGGGGTACCTTTTTGGGCTCCGTATTTAAAAAGGGAATCCTACGATTTGGAGGTCTATTTATTGGGCTTTCCGAACTTAGGGGTAAATTACTGGGGTCCTTGCGATTTTCGTACCCTCCCAAGTGTATGCTGGCGCCGGTGTCTTTTTTCATTCCGACTCGCGGCTAGGCCTCATCGAGCTTCCAGTCTATGCAGCGAACAGAGTGGGACAGATTTCCGGAGCTGTTGGATCTGGGGTTTACTCGGAGAAAAGCTAGTGCAGCACCCCGCTATCGGAACAACGTAAGTCTAGTCTAACTTTGCCACAAGCACAGGGCATCCGTCTCAAGAAATCTTCCTTGCCGCAGCCATACCATCGCAGCATGCGCCACAAGAAGTTGCTTGTGGCCGCCTGGGCGTTTTTCTCCGTTGCCAGTGAGCAAACTCAAGGTTTTGGGGTTGGTACAGGATTTGCTCTTCAGTGGCTGGCTCGAGATTCCCCCGGAAGTGGCAGTGCCATGCATGAACAAACTCACGAGGGATCCTTCTGAACCCGAGGCTTGCTGCTCAGGCGAGCCCTCGTAAGGAACGCTGATTTTGATCAAGGCCGTAAGACTTTAAGAAACCACGAAGCCCAAAGCCTAACACTTCGAACCCTAAAGGATCTTCAAGTCTTCAAAGAACCCTCGTGCATCTCGGCGCCTTGCGCATCACTTCCGCAGTGTTTGCAGGACAAACCTAAGAATCTGTGCGACTCAAGAGTTCTCCTATCGAATTGCTACCGACATGGGAAACATGTCATATATACGATACAGTTGTTTACTTGGCCGCTTGCCTACACGGCACTTCATCAAAGAGATTGCAAGCTGTCAATATCTACAACCTACAACCGATTCAAGATGTTTTATCTTAAGCCGGTGCGGATGCTTTGTGGTACTCGTTTAGAATCTGACATATCCCCTAACGACATACTTCTGGTTTGCAGCCCAAGCGTTTGTAGAGACGTGGGACGGATCCAATGGTTTCCCAAACAACAGCACCCCACGCCCTAAACCCTAAACCCCAAACCGGAGGGTTGCCTCAGCCCGAGGGCCGCATGTCCAAGCTTCGGAGCCGGACCCTGAAACCTGACTAAACTCCAATCTTCGAATCCCGAAAAAAAGCACGTCGTTCTTCAACCTAAACGAAACCCTAAACTCTAAACCCCAAGCCCTAAAACTCCAAAACCCTCTTTCCTACACCCGAGTCAAGTTTCAAGTTCCTTCCTCTGAGGTTTCGGCGCTGCTTGGCTTGAATCCAATCCCGCTGCCTGCCCACATTGGGCATTGTGCGCGTCAACGGGTTTCACAGGCAGGGCTTGAGGGTTCCATCGGTTCTCTTGGGTTTAGGGTTTAGGGTTTAGGGTTTCGGGCACCAGCGACATTGCTCAAGACCGGCCAAGCCTCGCGGCAGTACAGGCGGCCTGCGCAAAGGAGCAGTGTTGATTGCCATGCTCTGGCTGACCCTGTCTCAGCGTGATGTGGAATCCTTTCAGCCTTCGTTACAAACCTGTAACAAATTTGCGGCGAACGCATTCTGATCGACTCGTGCCGAAAGTTTATGGTCTCGTGCCGATGCATGAGGCCAACTTTGTCGCACCATTTGCTGCGAGGAATGCTGGAAAGCTAGATGAGAATGCTGGAAAGAGCGACGCACGAAGCTTCTGCTCCTTCGGATCTACTCCCACGGGACCTTCGCTGGACCGATCGTCCATGGACAGGACCCGGCCGGCCTCGGAAAAATGCAATGGTATCACTCTTGGGAGGGATTTACCGGTTCAGCAAGACAAACATCAGATTCTTCAACTCGGCCCGGAAGCAGTGATCCCGATTGAAAAGACACAGTTCCCTGCCCCAAAAACCCAGTGGAGGAGCAGTGTGGTTTGACGCGGGCAGCAGGCAGCAGCCGCAGCGCAAACAACTTGCGGACTAAGTGAATCTGCGACGTGAGTCGGCGTTTTCTGAGCAGCTCTGCACTGCTCTCCTCCCCCCATGTGCACCCGCCTGCGTATGTCGCATTTGGATCCAACCATCCTGGGCTTGGAGAGCTGTCTAACTTGACAAACGATCCCTTAGTCATCTGTCTTGTTGAGAGCGTGGGGGGGGGGTGGATACAGCAGCATAGAAGTACTGCCACCACCGGGTCACCACAGTACAAGAGTAATAAGAATAATCACAATAATAATGATAATCATCATAATAGTAAGAAAAACAAGAAGAATAGCAATGAGAGTAACAATAGCAATTATTATTGTTCTTGGTATAATTAAGGCCTCAAAGAGCGAGGGCAAGGCTTGGCCTGAACTCCCTGCCCTTTCCTGGCCCTTTGCTGCCAACGGGGTTTTGGAGTTTAGGGTTATACGGTTATGGGTTTAGGGTTTAGGGCTTGGGGTAAACTGAGGACTCAGCACTTGCAGTACACTCGGTACACCCCAAACCCTCCTGCTAGCACATTTGAAAAAAAAACACCCCAACGATCCCCGAACCCCTTTCGGCCCAGCATCTAAGAGCTTGATAAACTGCCAGGAAGATGGCTCTGGGAGCCTGGGCTCGGCCGAATCCATGCTTGGCTGCTTGGCTCTAGGTGGTTTAGGGCTTAAGGATGCTAAGTTCTTTGTCTTCTCGATGGTCCGAGTGCTTTTTTTGTAGGGTGCAACAGTGTGCGAAGCGGCCCGAAAGGACATCGAAGGTGGGTCAGTAGTTGCACCCCCCTGGCAAACCAAATGCAATGCAGGAGGAGCATTCCGACCACCCTCGTGAGAATTGGCCCAGAAGTACCATCGGAAGTTTCCTTCAGAAATGCATTCAGCCTTCTTCATCTGATGTGCGCTGAGGGCGCGACAGACGTGCCAGCCCTTCCTGGCAACCTTTTCTTCGCGCAGGGGTTTTGAGAAGGAGACTCGGAAGATCACGGAGGTAAGAGTTCAGGGTGGTGGGGATAGCTTTGCTTGCGCCCCCTCTCGCTCCACGACAAGGTGCTCACATGCCAACCTGGAACCAGGAAGCGAATTGCCAGCACTTAACCAAAAAACAACCAATTAACATCAAACCACAGTCTGTCCTAAGAGGGCCAGAGCACCAGAGCACCGTTCTGCAAGCTGAGCCCGGAGCCCAGGAACTGCTGCTGCCCTCGAAAGTCCAGCCTTCGGGCAAGAGAGTGACATGCATGATGCCTCGCAGTTTATCTGGCGCACATCCATGTGAATGCAATCTGCAATGGACATGAGCAAGCGCCAAGCGCCTTTTTGCAGCACAATGTGAGCACGTGAAGGGTTCTTCTTCTGCTTGTCATAGCTTCACTCACTTGAGGCATTTTGCTCTGCATCGACTGCAAGCCTTTGTTGTGCTTGAATTGGGAAGATTCTGCGGTGCGCCAGAAGTGCAACATGGTAAAGGCAAAGGCGGAGCGGGGCATGGTCATGTCAATCCTTTGCTGCTGTCACAATGGTGGCCGCCGCAGGGCGGTGAAAGTGCTTTGGTTGCTTCGGGGCACTTTGCCAACCTTCGCCAGGCGGTCGAGGCGTGGGTCTTTTTTCGAAAGCCTCCGTCAAGATGAGCCCCTCTGCTGTGCACAATACACCTGGTAGCACACGGCAAAAGCGACAGATGCTGCACCAGCGTAAAGAACGTAAGGAGCAAAGTCTGTACCAGATGTGGCGAATGCCAGGACCATCCACACCGCAACGTCTCGGCTAACTTGATTTCCAAACTCGCGGCGCTTTTCAATGTCATCCGAGTCAAGCGATTTGAGGCGGACCACAGAGCTCCGCACATGCGCACCTCGTGCTCGCTGGGCACCAGCAAGCTTCCATTGTGTCGGCCTTGCTCCCATGAAGACTGGACTTCGTGCACCTTGCATACGAGTCACGAGGATCACGACGAGGCCAAGCACAGCAAGAAAACCTTGTCCCACCACATGTCCTCTCCTTCTGCTGGAGCGGTGTACGACAGGCATGACCATGCGAACCAGAAGCTGCCTGTTGCTTGCTAGGGCAAGCCAGTAGCTGCAGACCGGGCATGAATCAGCAACTAGTGCCTACAAGCACAGCCTTTCTTAGTAGGGCGAAAGGAAGGACGGTGAGGCACTGCACAGCACTTCTCCCTGTCCACATCCGCAAAGTCTCGAAGACGGCCGGCAGTCATCATGCATGAACTGCCACAACATGGGAAACTGCAGGCCTGCTAAATGCGTAGCCGCTGCCAGACTCCGTGATGTTCCACTGCACCTAGGCACAAGCGCCTTGCTCCTCTAGCTGGTATGAGCGTGACAGGCAGCAGAAGAGCAGAAGCAGTGTGTGTGAACCTTCGCATGCCAACACCCCAAATGCACCTGCGAACGAACTGCGTTTCTGTGGGTTCCTTGCCAGGAGCTGATCGCCCTCGCATACTACCACGACCGAAAAGCGCCCTGGTGAACTAAACCTGTTACACCGACAGGCGTCCCTACCTTGGGCTGTTCAACATTTGAGGAAGTGAGGTGCTTCATCCGGTGTCATTACTCCCATGGGAGATTGTTCAACATGAGAGTAGTCTTCTAGGCACATTACACAGTAGGATTTCAGGGGCCCCTTCAGCAGTGAAACGAGTTTTGGAGCAACCCCAACTCGAGGCTCGCACAGCTGCCAAGTCTGTGCGGTCAGAACGCCGCAGGCCAAGCAATCCTCTGAGCTGCCAAGAAACAATCTCTAGACTTTGGGACTATTGCTGTGTACCACAATATGAATAAATACACAATGCAATATGAATGTGTAAATATGTAAATCTGCAAATAAAAGTTTAAATTAGAGTTACAATAAAAATGTCAATAAAACATGAAAATACAAACGAAAGAAAATAAATATGTAAAAAGTAAATAGATGAATTCACATCTAAAAATACGTATGTATTCATTGTGTACATGCGTATTTTATGCTATAGATAAGGCAGAGTATGCAGTCCCTCACAAACTCATGGCACATGCCGGTTAATGCCTCTCCCGAACCCGAAATCTTACACCCCAGAAGCCAGTCTGGGTTGCGGCACCATCAAGCTCCACGATGTCTGGGTCGAAGCTGACATTCCGCATGGACTGGGCCTTCGGACTCGTTTCGAAAGCTGCGAGAGTTCGGTGTGAAGCCCTAGGCTCGGACAAGACTTCGACATCAGCACGGGTTTAGAGTTTAGAGTTTAGGGTTTAGCGTTTAGGGTCTAGGTACCAAATCAAACCCAGAGAGCTCCACGAAGTCAAAGCAAGGGCATGGGACTGAAAATCTCGAAGCCCGATTAACTCTCCAGTATTGGGGATCCATGTCAGTTCCAATGAAGTGTACAGGCTGGCCCCCAAGGCGTCTGCAGTCCATCCGGTGAAGAAATCCAGATTCCAAACTCTAACTTCCAAGTCCTAGCCCAGTCCGATTGCGAAACTTGAATTCCGGCCCCCTGGCCACCCTACTTTCCGAAGCTCTGGCGCTGAAATGAGCTGAATAAGCGACTCTCAGTCCCCATTGAAACATAGGAAACACCCCCAGGAGTGTCAGTTACTGGCTATTTGCCCACCCAAGGCACACACAAAAAAAACACAAAAAGAACCAGCCACCTCGGGGCTGGCACGGGGCCACCATGTCGCGGAACCTTGTAAACATCGACTCGTGATGCACTCGTGACTTCAAGGAAGCCAAGACTGCTATTTGCTTAAGAAACCCCCAAAACATAAAGACTAGTAATCCCTAAATTACCCTTAGTAAGGAAGAATATTTTATTTTTTGGGGGGTTCTTGAGCAAGTAGTAGAAGAGCTAATTCTGGGGGCACAGTGCAATGCTGTATGTAATGTGCTTCCCAAGGGTACACACGCCGAGCATCGAGCCCCAACAGATCTCAAGATTCTGGACTTGTTCTGTCCCACACGGGGGGTGAGCTTGAAGAAACTCCCCTACCGATAACGGACCCTCTAACCCACACATCCCAACAAAACTGGCTTCCCTAAACCCTAAACCCTAAACCCTAAACCCTAAACCCTAAGTCCTAAGTCCTAAACCCTAAACCCCAAACCCCAAACCCCTGAGCCCCGCACCCCAAAGGATGGGCTGCAACTTCGCCTCCAACCGCCAGGGCCCGAAGTCCGAGGCATCGTGGATCTGACTTCGACGACTCTTCCCAGAGTTGCTTCAGTTTTTGGAAGTTTAGGGTTCAGGGTTCAGGGTTTCTGGGGATTATTTGTTGTTCTTTCGGGTTGCTTCAGTTTTTTGGAAGTTTAGGGTTCAGGGTTCAGGGTTTAAGGGTTTCGAGTGGGGGGGGGGGGGGGGGTTTTTTCCAGAGTTGCAAGTGCTGTTGTTTTTTGGGGGGAGGGGCGGGCTTGGTTTGAGGGCTCAAGCAGATGCGGAATCCCGACTTGTTCGTGCTCCCACATTCCGGCATCGAGCAAATCCTCACGTGCCTTGAAGCCCAGCCGCTCTGATTCGAACAGTTTGCCTGTGCAAGGCTTTTTTGGAACAACGTGATTCACCTCAATTTGTCCAACTCATAGTTGTGATGACCGAGCACTGGTTCTGAGTATCCTGTCCGTGAGTACATTCGAACTCTCATCTCCGAGACGTGTTGAAGCGTGAGTGTCTGTTTCAACACGATTTGAACTTAACTTTTGAGTATGGTGACCAGGTTTGTCACCAGCTACGCTCCATCAGACTGCAATCACAGCCAGAAGCCCCCAAATTATATAAACCTACACCCAACCATGTGCTTGAAAGCTTTTGCCAATGAGCGTGGAATCACCATGCATCCCTATGCGTTTTGATGGTCTTTGTAAGGACATCGAAGCTAGTGGTCGTCGAAGTGCTGAGGGGAGCGAATCAGTACTGACCGCGCCTGTGCTTGCACCGCTCTTGCGCTGCCTTTCGCAGAACTCCACGCGGTCTTGGCAGCCTTGGCAAGAAGATCCTTTGCGGAAGTATAGGCCAGCTGAAAAATGCGATCGTCAGATCATGAGATAGCATCGGCTCCACGTAGTCTCAAACGAATTCCCGTGGGAGCATGCTTCGGTGGTTGGCAGAGCTAATGCTGAGGGCGCTGCTGAAGAGAAGCTTCCGCGAGCCACTGGTTTCAGAGGCGCAGAAGCCATCGTTGGACTGGGCACTCCATGCAGTATCATCAAACAGGCTGTGCATACCGTGCTAGTACCCACAGTATGAAATCGGAATATCAGTGAATCAGGGAATGCTACGCTGCGGGTGGGACTTCTGAAAACAAACACAATCTGACAGAAGCGCCAACAATTATTCTGGGGCAGAATTTGAAACGCGAGTTCCCCGCCGTCAAGGCCACTCTCCGAGTGGCGGAGAATTGACCCTGCTACAACATCTCCGGATTCCGGGGAGGTATCTGTCTGCGCCGGATGCCGGAGCCCTCCATTTTGTGGGTTTTACGTTGCACAGCGTGAGGGAGTCGACAACTCACAGCTTCAGATTCTTCAAGTATAGCTTCTTTCACACCGCCTGCGTGTCCCGGACTACTTATTCTGGAGGCGGATGGGGCGTTTTTGTGGTGATGCTTGTGTCTGTATCCGCTCCATGGCTTTTGGCCAGATGGTCCAACAACAAAACGTGCACCTGGGCTTCTGCCTGCGCCTTAGCCTTTCACGTGCAGAATTCCTCACCAAGCCCCGTGCCCGGGCGCGGTTGAAGGCCTGACCGGCCTGCGAAGGGATCATATCCACCTGAGCACCAGGGTCTGAAGAAACTCCAGGTTTCGAAGTCTCACCTCTGCAGCGTTGCAAAACCTTGACAAGCAGAACAAAGCATAACAAACTCACCTTGAAAGAGGTTTTCAGGATTCAGGGCCGGCTTCAGGGCATTCACACAACATAAGCCTTTTTTTGTTTCGACATTCGCGCCTGCTGACACTATGGTCTTAGCTTTCGAGTTTTTTGGTGAATTACGGACATGCTTTGAGTATTATGCCTCCTGAACCCTAAACCCTAAACTCTGAATCCCTCATGACTGGCAAGGCCTTCGTGGGTTTCCACTGCGCGCTGCCGAACATCACGGGCCACAATGCTTCGAGGACAAGGCCACGGAATTTTCCCTCCCAGCCTGCCACAAAGAATGTGTCTGATTCGGGCTTGCTATGCATTCAGCAGTTGTTCGCCGGCAATCACGCTTGCAAGTCCATTTGGTCAAACATCAATGTGCATGGTATCTGTCTTGCTTGTGATTCTTGGTTGCATGGCTTAGGCTTCAAGCAGCTTTTGAGTGCCTCCCACCCCTGATCATCCACGACATCACGTTCATGTTGATTCATGCTCAGCTCTACACAGCTACTACTGCAGGAAAACCCACTGACACATCGACACGCAGGCACACAAACATACAGGGCACAGAGACATACAGACACGCAGACGCACACACGCACAGACACACACACATTGAATATGCACTGGGAAGCTCTATGTTTGATTCCACGTTCACACAGATCTTACTCCGAATATCCCCGAATGTTGATTAGAACCCTCCCACCCCCACATGAGCCGGCACCAGAGGAATACAATTAAGATGTTTTCTTACATGAGGGTGGGGGCTCGGTTTGGGAATCGAAGCCCAACACTTCATCGAAACTAAACTCAACCAAGCGTACACTAATTATACTTCTTCCATCCGAAACCTTCAGGTCGTGTTCAGAACCTTTAGAGTTCACGTTGCGGAGGAACCGGACCCGAAGCTACTCGCCGAACTCTGGTTTGGCCTTCACCGAGAGACAGGGCATCCATGTAGATGCTCCTCTCCGTGGACCAAATACGATCACGAGTAACCTGCACTCGACTCCACCACCAATCGGATGGGCAAATATACATCAGCTCCGGGTAATTATGGGTGCTAGGCTTCTGGAAGCCTAAGAGTCTAGGGTTCATGGGTTGGGCCTCGGGGTCCACCTCGACGCCTAAACAAAAACTGAGGCATGCGCAGCCCACTGGGCCCCTTCCGCCGTCCACTCCACGCCTGCAATGACATGGTCCAATGGTGCCAGAACACCTACGTTCTAGGGCGACTGCCATGAGATCTCCCAGGTTATATAAGTACCATGTGCCGAGAAAGAACAAGCCGCAAAGGCTCGAAGATCCCCGCAATCCAAAAGCATCCAAACGTCGTACACCAAAATTTCGGCAACCGGCGCTTTATCCTGCATGCCGGGGTTTGGGATGTCCTGCCTGGGCACGCCGCCCCGCCCAGAATTTTGGTGCATGTCTCGTTGTAGAGGACCTGCCAAAGCTGGTGCAACCTTTCAAGGAGTGAGTGGGTTTTCGCAGGGTGTCGGATAATTCCGCCTGAACACCAACGTTACCGAAGCCAATCTTCAGCAGCGCCATTGGCTCTCTGCAGCACTTCTGATCCCTTCATGTAGCGTTGGCCCTCAAACGCCCCCAACGAATAAACTGCTGCACCCACCAATCCACCCTTCACCAGAAACTCACCAAACACCCAAAGCCCGAGCTCTGAGAACCACTTTGAATGGTGAGTCTCGGCCCCCAGGCACGCGCGTAGTTCAATGCCTCGCGCTCTCTTCCCAGTGGGAAGTGCTTCGATGCCTTGCGGCAATGTAGCTTCGCTGATTGGGCTTTCCATCAGCTGAAGACGCGCAATGCAAAAGAGACAGCAAGCTGGAAAGCGGAGATCAGGTACACCATACTTGTCATTGCATGTCATAGAAGACCTCACCGATGGTATGGCGTGGTGGGTAACGGGTACGGTGTTGTATGGATCTGGTCTGGTATGGTACTCGAGCATGGTATGGTATGATGGCAAGTAGCGGCCGAACACGAAGAAGTACATAGCAGGCAGCCAGATACAGCGCGGATAGTACATCAGCCGCATACCCCATACGGACACGCAGACAAGGAAAAGATGGAAATGCATGGCTCGCGCAAGCAAATTGGCAAACGAAGTAAGAACCAGAATGGGTCTACAACGCCTTAACAAGGGCCTTTGTATAGGGCTGACTCTGGGGATTCTAAGGCCTAATGGCCCCCATCCTGGAAAGTACTGAAGCTGAGAGAGTGCTAGGGAGCTTTGTGGGGGGGTTCATGGGAGATCCAAAGACTTGGGCCAAGACCAAGGAGCTGGCGAGACCGAGCCTGCCAGCCTCCGCTGTCGAGGGTTTTCGGGAGGCTTTGGGCCTGTTAAAGTCGTGTCGGAAGCCATCACGTATGAATAGACCTACCCAATGGCGTTCCAAGGTCAAAGAGCCTGCAGTAATGAACGCGATGAATTGCGAACAGCTCAGCTTGCATGATGTGACTTTCGGACGCCGCACAAGTTCTGCATCGATGCGATGGAAAAGTGCTCCGAAGCGTGCAGTCTTGACAAGATTCCTCCAACAACGAAACCTGAAAGCCTGAAGCCCGTTCTTTGAGCTCCACGCGTTTATGTTGTACTGCCAAAACGTCCCAGTCAGTGGTGCAAGGCCTCCGAAGCAGCGAGCAAAGGGGATGCTGAGTTTTTAGTGTCCTGCAGGGAATGGGTTCAAGGGGCCGTATCCCAAGGTTCCCTACTACTCCCCACTCCTTGAACGTAACTATTGGGGCTGCTGCTCGATAACTTCGAACAAGGCTGGGGCTTCAGACATTTCATGGTACGGACCCTAAACCCTAAACCCTAAACCCTAAACCCGAAGCCCTAAGCCCCTTAGGATCTTGTAGCCTCCAGGATCTTCTACGACTCTCCGAGCTGAGCTTTAAAACATGAGACCTCGTAGTACTTAAACTTCTACGTGAGCTCCAAGCCTTGGCTGGCATCCGCGGCTCCTTGGAGCTCAGCTACCTGTGGCAGTTTAGGGTTTAGGGTTTAGGGTTTAGGGTTTAGGGTTTAGGGTTTAGGGTTTAGGGTTTAGGGTTTAGGGTTTGCGATAATCGGGGGTGCCTTTTTGGGGTCCTTATTGTTATGAAGGGCATCCTACTATAGATCCCTGAAGTCATGACGGGATTTGCGATAAGGGAGAGGGGAACCCTCCTAGGGGTCCTTTTTCTTAAATTTAACGGGGTTCGATTCTATTTTGGGGGTATGATATGCGTACCCCTATTATGCCCCTATTATAGGAAACCCCCATGTGGCCGTAAAAAGGGAAAGCTGGGCTGTGTGTTTCCTTGGTGGTAGGTAAAGAAAATGCCCTGCATAAGGTTCCCTGAGTCTCTTGTACGAACGATGCACGCTGTACGGCAGCAGCGATGGTGGCGCCTGGCCAGGCAGCAACATTGCTGAGATGGTGTTGCGAACCTGCAGGAAGCTGCTTGACAAAAGCAGCCCAAACCGCACTCTCTACCCTTCGAAGCCACTGGGGCAAATTAATTCTCCGAGATCAGATGCAGTACGTCCAAAGGGTCGAACAACTGCAGCAAAAAAATCCTTTTTGCCATTGCTCTGCAATGTGTTTCAACACAAGATAAAGATGATCAAACGACTGCATGCCATTGGCACCATGTGAGTGTGACGCAGTTCAACTGCTCTCACTACCCCCGAGGCCGACACGGCTTTGAGAAAGCCAGGACCTTTGCCGAGCGCAAGATTTCACTGACTCGGCACATGCAGGCAAGGTCACAACACCCGCGCATGTTGTGTTGTGCAATTTCCATGTGCAGCAATGGGCAGGTGCATGAAGAGCCATGGCACAAGCCAGACGTTGCCAATCTACGCAGCAGATTCCCAGCGATGTTTCCAAGCAGTGAAAAAGGATGCTGATCGCATGGCGTCTACTGATGTATTACTGCTCTGTGATGCAACCAAGCGGCAGTGCCCGAAAGGCCAACCTTGAAGGAAAACTGTGACCTGCCAAGCTGCCATGCTTCCTGTCCCCACCCCCCCCCCCCCTCCGCCCCCCTGAGATCGTATTTTAGTGGTTTTAGAGCCTACATCAACGACAATTGGTCTGGGATTGTGATGGGCTTTGGCTCCTATATAGACATAAAGAGTCCAAGTATCTGCTTTGCGCAGCTACCAGACCTACCATCCTGGCTGGAAACGACCTGTGGTAGGGCATCGTAGTTCTCGACGATGTGGTGGAGGAACACCTGTCCAACATGCGGTCCTGAACGCTCTCTGAATTAAGCCTGAACCCCGTCTGCATCTACTCTGAGCTCGGTTTGCTTTCTGACTGGGACGTTCGAGGGATGGGATCCACACACAGGCACGAAAAAACATAGGCATGCCGCTTCCCAACTGGCACCCATCCACGACCCCCAAAATGATAAAATCACAAACGTGCCGCCTCATCTTCTCTTCCGTGGTTCTCTTCCGAGACTATCCGCAAATTCTCTCGCGGGCTTGGAAGCAGACCTCTGCCCGGATGCGCAGACCACACTCCCCAAAGTCTTCGGGCATTCAATGTAGAGGAACAAGCGGTAGCAGAGGCTGAGACAACAGAAGTTTGATGTTTGATTGTGTTGCAGGTGAAGTCTCTATGACTAAACAGCCTTTCATCCGCACACTTGTGTGAACCACATCATCAACGTTTTCGCCGCTCTATACGGGAACCGTGGCCATCTTGATCTTTGAAATCGCTTGAGGTTTATGCTACCATATAGAACTTGAGGGCAAAGCCGAGAACAACGAAGCTAGCCTGGATTCACGCCAATGTGAATTAATCCGTGCTGTACTATACGGTTGTGGCTAGGACCCCGCTTGACAGATTCAAGACTCCGTCTAGATCCAGGCCTAGGGAACCTTCTATATAGGTGTACCAGGGCACGCACCCAGCAGCCGTGCGCGGACAAGCTGCTTTTAGCCCGGAATGGGCGCCCCCCTATAGCCGAACAGTGTCCGGCCGCAGACGAATGTGGTGGGACCAGGGATCTTCCTCACAGTCCCACCCCCCCTCCCCACCCCCTCCCTGCCCTCCGCTGGGCCATTCAAGTGCCCCTGAAGCCTATGCCCTTTGGAAGCATCGGTCGGATCTGCAAAACACCGTTGTGGTGAGAGCAAGTCGCTGTCCTTCCCTACCTGCTGGATTGATTTTATAGGATAAGACAGGACATCTGTTCTGTGACAGAGCTCAGAAAGCGTTCCTTTAAGCAAAGTTTATGGCTGAAGATAAGGTGTGTGCATGTCGTTGTGTTTTGGCGAGCTTTAAAACATGGTTCAGTGTGCAAGACACCTTAACAAATGTACAAAAATTGGGTCTGCAAACGCTGAAATACTTGTAAGCATCATCCCCACCGTGTTTAGAATTCGCGCGAGCCAGAAAGATCCACCCGTGTTGGTCTTAAAGATGGTACCAAACATATGGGGATTTCTTTAGAAATTGGACAATAAATCGTCGCTGCTTCCGGCGCTTTCCTTGAGGTGCGAGCCACGGCAACGGCATCAAAGAGAGAGAGAGAGAGAGAGAAAGAGATAGATAGATGCGTAGATAGATAGATAGATAGACAGATAGATAGACAAGTATATACATATATATATATAGAAAGAAACAAGCATAACCGCAATATCTGTCCATCCACGTAGCTTACAAATGAGAATCCGGTCTTCACAGGGACAGATGGCTTGACTGCTACCAACCATCTAGTGTGTGAGCCTTCGGGTAGGCGCAAAGACTTGGACCAATCTGCAAGTCCCACCACTAATGCTCCCCACATCTCAGTCTTCTCACGAAAGCGTAGGTCACTGGGTTTGTATTACACACATAATGTTCACAAAGCATGTTTGTACCTAAAGATTCTGATTGGATGTGGAAACATAGGTATACACGCAGCGTGTTCGACCACTTTCGAGACAACGCATGACCTACGCCAACGAAATGGACTGCAAAAACCCCAACCTATAGGTGTCGGCTCAGCGCGCGGCTGTCTGCCCCACCGCGGTTGTACACCACGGCAGGGAGTTGCGGCCTGGGGCGCTTTAGGTGGTCTTCTTGGATGGGGGCGAGAGACAATTGAGCCGTGAGCTTGCGAGCCAAGATAAGTCGGACGAATACCATGGAATGTTCCAAAGCGCAGTCTAGCGGACCAGCCTTCGAAAACTCCAATCCCGTTTATGCCGACCCAGAGTGTCCTGAAGCCGAGTAAACCCTCAGGGAGTCAGGGACCCCGGCAGCGCGTCGAGCCACCGGAGGTCTTCTCCGTGGCGCGCGACAACGAGCTGTACAGCATCAGGCGGGAACTCATAGTCCTGGACCGCAAGAAGGGGGGCTAGAAGAAAAATTCATGGGACGGGACTCTGGGTCAGATAGAATACTTTCACTTCATTCCTTGCTGCACAAGAAGTGTACACAGGAGGGCTCCAGGTCTTGAGATTGAGATCCTCCCGATGGAACCATTCCAAAACACATTCTGGGCCAGGCCAATTACACACAAACTGTCTTGCCTCGCAAGGGCGACTCAAACAGTACTACATCCTTCGGTTTTGTGGACAAAAACAACGGAAGTCAAGCTGTCTATAGCAGCAGCCCAATAGGTTCCATGCTGAAAGCTCGACAGCTTGATGCCTCTTTTTGTCGGAGTACAACTTACAGAAGCTGCATAGCTGCCATAAAACGTGGATGCACTCTAGCATGGAGTCACAACACATGGAAAAAAACAAACCCAAGAACCAAAATCACACATACTGATTGCGTCTTGCAACTACTAGTATAACTCGCTGCCTTGGACCATGATGCGTTGTGCCATCGCTTGTCCTGCACTTGCAAGTCTGGGTGTTTGCCTTGGGATATGTTGCCAATCTTTGTCCCTACGGCAACGTTCGAGCGGAACGTCCCAGCAATATCATTGCTCAAATGTCAAGCACAGAACACGAGACGAGAAGGCGCCCCAAGCTCCAGTCCAGTTGAAGATCAAAGCAGGAGTCGTCTTGGACCACGCAAAGCCCAACCAGATCGTCCTAGAGGCACACAGGTGCTTCAGGCACACATGCATGGTAACAAAAGCAAACCAGGCCTGCCGCTGTTTGCTTTGTTCTTGTCAGGCTTGTGAAAGTTGTGCAGTGTGCAGCGCAACCAGTGCATGTTGGGGGGAAAGCCCAAGTATTGAATGGGTTCAATCCAGCCAAGCAACATGATTTCGAGGAGCAGGGTCCGTTGGCCCGTGCACCTGCATCAATTTGAGTTCCCCATCCCCAACCACGCCTAAACACGAGAGTCCTCGAGCGCTTTGCTGTATGCATGGACCTCTCTGCCTCTTGTACAGACATGTACAGACTAACAGGGTGGTCTGCATTGATCTTGCTAGGACACCCCACCACATTTTTATCGTTGCAACCTATGGCAACAAGTAGTGTTGTATAAGTACGAGTAGCAACCCCAGGATGAGGAGCCTCATTTCTGAAAACACTACGACATATTACGATAACAATGCTGCCAATTAAGCCTTGGACCAGCTAGTGAAGCTGGTGGTGCTCATTCTTTGGTCCATAAAACCTAGACCCTGAAACCTAAACCCTATACCCTAAACCCAAGAAGGCCTGGAGAAGCGACTTCGAGTGAACCTGCTGGTTGTCACAGGCCTGGCATTGCAAAGGAGCCAGGAGCTTGCTGCACACTTGCTTTCACAAATGGCTCTTCGCATCTAGGAGGAACCGTAGCCACTAGGAGGAGTTGAATGGACCGCTGAATGGATTTCAACCGCTCTCAAAAACCCTGGCTAATCAACACGCCAATGTGTTCTGGACAGGGGCGGAGGCGGATACAAGATAAATCCGAACCGTGAGACCCCAAACATCCGATGGCCTGGGTGCCACTTGCTGATGTCAAGGTCAAGGCGGCACCTCTGGACTCAAACGGATTGCGCGTTGAGATGACTTTTTAAATTTGCAAGAATATGGGAAAATTTAGGGCTTAGGGCTTAGGGCTTGGGGCTTAGGGCTTCGAGTTTGACCGTGGAGGCCTTTTCAAGCACAGGGTTGGGCCATCAGAGCTCTTCTCAGAGACAAAGCACAGCGGATTACATCCTGTTTGCTCAAGCAGTCAAACACTGAGTAGTGAGCTCACAGTAGGCTTAGGGCTTAGGGTGTGAGATCTAGGATGCCAGCAGGATTCAGGGTTGGAAATTCCATTCTTTTTGCCAGGCTTGTGATCATCGTGTGAGCGTCCTCGTATGTCTCACAAACGTTTGCACACATTCATGGATCTCTGAGCCGAAGCGTAGTGCCCTTCACCCTAAACCTTAAACCCTGAACACCGATATCGTGCGGAAAGAGGGGTGCCCGGGCAGAGGCTGCTTCTGAGTTCGCCGCAAGCCGCCAAAGCCCGAATCATGACCTCGAACTGGTCTTCGAAGTCCTGCTCAACTAGTTCATGGTTGGGATCAAACGCAAAATTTAACTTTAATTCCTTAGAGGGTTTAAGTACCCTTAAACATGTAAAATGGTATCCAACTATGACAAAGTCAATGGATGCGTAGTGTGTACGATGGGCGATTGCCGGGTTCGGGGTCCGTTCTCTGCCTGTTCAACAACTGGGTTCAGTCTATCGATGCAGGCGCACAGTGACACACGCAACGCATACGCAAAGCCCCAAAAACAACACACAGGCGCACACACACACACACACACACACACACACACACACACACACACATCACTGTCACGAGCCCCTATCCACACAACAGGCGTTCTGCAAGTCTGTCTTCCGTCCACCTTTTCGGACTGACTTGGAACATGCAGCAAGTTGTGCAGGACCTCAAGGAAATTCAGTCCGGACCCTGCGGGTGTGAAAGCCTCCAATACTTTTGGAAAGTTGCCACCCTCAAAAGCCCGACCCCACACAAGTCGCCCTTGCCTGGGACGAGTCAAGGGTCGCTCGCAAGGTTGTGAAGTCCTGCTACCGGTAGTGCTCATGGAATAAAATGGATTGAAAACAGGCCTTGAGCCTCCGGTCGGCGCGGGCCAGATGGTGGCGGCGGCAAAGATTAACCCGACCGTCGAACCCTCTGACATCCCAAATCCGGACCCTGAGCCCTGAAAGCTCCAACTTCTGCATGCACAGACCTTATATTTCTGTGGCACAAGATTAAAGGAACCATCCAGCGACCCAAGAGAAACACCCCTACTGACCTAACTCCGTCTCTCAACGCTTACAGGACTACCTTACCACACCTGCATACCTTACCACACCTCCACACGAAGCCGGGCTGCCTCAGGAAAAATTGAGGTTCAAGGGTTTAGGGTTTAGGGTTTAGGGTTTAGGGTTTAGGGTTTAGGGAACCGTTACCCTGGTCCCTGGTTCGTCGGTCTGGGTGGCATGCCTTGACGCGACGAAGGCCCGTGTCAACGACGATTCGCACAGTAGGCCTGGACCCTCAATAGCCAACCCTAAACCCTAAACCCTAAACCCTAAATCCTAAAGCCTCAACCCTACAGCCAACCGGGGACCAAGGGAAAGCCTGCAGTGGAACCTAAACCTGGCTTGCTGGAGGGTCACGGGCGAAGGAAAACCAAGAGCTTAAATGGGGGTTTACGAACGTTGGGGACCCCTAATTCAAACCCCCCAAATCGTACGATTCCCTTTTTACAAGGACCCAAGAAAAGGGTGCCCTTATTTTCGGAAACCCCCAAATGGCCTCTTGAGCTTGCATTGCCCGATTCGGAGTTGATGGGGGTAAATGGAGTGTCCCCTAAAATCAATCCGTTGTTTTTTTATCATTTTTCTGATGCTTCTGATTATGATTATGATATATTATTTTTTCTTTTGATTATTTCTAATTATTATTCGTATTTTTATACGACGCAGCGGCCATGTTAAGACTTGAAAGCAGGCTGGCGGCCACGGCTGCTTATGGCTCGGGCAGATAGCCGCGCCCCGCAGCAGGATTGAAAAAAACAAACAGTATGATTGGCAAGCTACCTTTCATGATTGTCCGCGCTCCGCAGGCAGTGGGTTGGATTTTGGGATCGGCGTGCAGGCCATGTAACTCTATTGCAGCTGGACACAACTTCAGATTGCATACACCGGGCCACCCAATCCAAGCACCCGGCACCGTAATTGACGACTCTGCAATGGACGTGGCCAAGATCACCTGCGCCGACTGCGCTTGCAGGGTTTGTTGTCTGGTGACCCAATTTTCTGGCCGTTGACGGTTGACCTGTGCACGCCCTGCCACGGCCTTTCGCCATCCTTCCTCTGAATGTGTGATGACCGCGTCCTCTGGGCGAATGAACTACAGGCTGCGTACTGGACTAGTCGGGACGAACCTTGCCCTGTAGACATGGGGAGTTTCTTAAATAGCAATCTGCAGTGAAAGCATGTGTAAACCATCCGTGCCCGCAGTGGACCTAGCAGATCTAGCCACGCCGTAGGTCGAACCCACTCCTGCTCATGTGTCTCCATGGTGCCGTACAGTGGGCTCACCTGCAAGGCTTCATGCTCTCTGCAAGCGAGTCTTCCCAAGCCATTCTGGCAGCGCTGCTCGAGCTTGCGGATGGGGATAGTTCTGCTGGCGCTCTGCAACGGGGTTCCATAGAAGCATTGTTCACTCTGTTTTTTATCATTTAAGCTGAGCTGAAACTTAGAAGGTGGGAGATGCTGTCTCAAGTGCGCAAGGGCCTGAATCTTCTTGCTCAAGTCCACTTTGGACTCATCAATGAGCCGATGGGCCTGGGCAAGGGCTGGCTGAACATGTCTGGAACTAACCTTGCAGAGGCAGCATTGCCAAACTCTAGCCCAACTCTGCCACTTGTGCTCACAAGCGGTCATCATACCAGGACCCCCAGAAATAATAAGCTGACAACTTCATTCCTGCCTGCCTCGGCAGTTAGCATGATTTGGAAGCCCCTGGAAGCTGGAAGCCCCTCCACGTGAGCACTGCCGTCCAAACAAGAGACATTCCAAGCTCCCCGCCCAGGGTACCAAGTTTTTTGGCCGCTGGCCGTCACCGATCTGCCAAACCAAGTATGGTGGGGAAGGCAATTTTGGGATTAGACCTTCTAACCCGACCGGATATGCGGACGATGGGGTCTGGGGCGCCGGCGCTTGAGCGTAGGGAGATGATTTTGTGGCCTATAACCCCTAGGGATTTTGGGGGTGATAGGTTCAGGTTTGGGCTCTGAAGCGTTGGTTGATTGAGGTTCTTGGCTGTGTTTAAGGTTCCCAGGTTCAAAGCCGAGCTTAAGGATTCAGGCTTTCAGGAGTCGTGCGGCCGCAGCCTCGCGTTCTCTGACGCGGCTTGCAATATCCTTCACTCCGAAATCTTCGAAAATCTCAACAAGTGTATCACCTACCAACGGGTACAACATGCAAACCGAAACAGCCGGAAGGACGCCCATGTTGTTCAGAGCGATCCAGACGTACCTATGCAGTGTGCCGGTGCGATGTTACCCAGGATCTGGCATCCTGCACGAATGCGGTGGGCAAACTAGCTTCCTTACTCAGTTGAATCGCCGATGGAAACCGCATGGTGCAGATGAGGGCACATAATCTCTCGCTCACCCGGAACGAAAACGAGCACGTCCCCCTCATGCTCCTCAGCCAGCCGATCGCCCAAACAACTTTGCCGATTTTGAATCTGACATGAGGTGCGCACATCCAACGCCGTTTCAACCTGCTCGGCAACAATGTCCGCAAAGTGCCTGGGGCCTGACAAGTCCGGTGGGCTACAATTTCAACAAGCCTCGTCAACGATGGAATCGCGAACCAAATCCCCTAAACCCTAAACCCTAATTAAACCCTAAACCCTAAACCCTGAACCCTGAACCCTGAACCTTGAACCCTGAACCCCAAACCCCAAACCCCAAAACCAAAACCCTAAAACCTAAACCCTAAACCCTGCCCGGATTGAACCAACAAAGGAAGATAATTGTCGGCCTTTCATGAAACAGGAAGCCTACCGAAACACTACCTGCATCTGTCCTTCATCTCCCTATGCGCATGTGAGTGGTGGTAGCTCGTTTTCGTCTGTCCGGCATACTTACTCACATGCACTGAGCACATGAAGCGAACTGACGAAAATCCGAGTACGCGCAAGAAGGGGCAACCTTGAAGATGCGAATTTACGATCTGCAGGACGCGAATTCGAGTCAAGGATGACCGATCATGGTGAGTTTCCGGTGTGCGCGTGGAGAGAACCTTGGGTCAAGGATGACATCCTTGAAACAAACCCTACACCCTAAACCTAAACACCAAACCAAAAACCCTGAACCCTATTCCAAGGAGGTGGTGCCAAGTTGAGCCCTCCCCCCAGTAACCTAGGAGTAAAAGGTTGTTGCTATCACGCTCATAAAGGATCCTGAACCCGATCACAGGGGGATAGGGGTACTTGCAGGGTTGGGGTAAACCCTCAACCTTAAATCGGAACCTTGTTCGCCATTGCAACGCCCCTGCGCACCTGAGAGACACCTAGGGTTTAGGGCCTCAGGGCACGCTAAGCCCAGGGAGTATAAACCTTCAACTCGAAGACCTCCTAAACCCATGGACACTGAATTTTCAAAGCCTGTACCCCAAAAACCCAAAAGCCCTCATCTCTACCGGACTCTACTGAAAACCTTAAAAACAAACCTATATAGCCCTCAGCCCTAAAGCCAACCCCCCCTCCCCTCCCCCCCCCCAAAAAAAAAAACACACAACCACACCATCGATTTCGAGGCCCTGTGCGTGCACACGCGCGCCGCGGGGTGACACCGTCAACTTCCGTACGCTCAACATGGGAACCCCATAGTGCAAACACTGTTTGGGGGGGATACCTATCTTAGTCTTATACAAATATGAAATACGGTTGGCGGTTTTGCGGCGACCAAGAAAGGGCGATTGTTGCGGTTCTGACTTCCAGATGCACCCCACTACTACTTGGGAGTATGGGATTTGGGAAGTCTGTGCTCTCTAGCAAATAGCTGCTTTTCTGCGGTGCCGCCGGAAAAGTGTCTGCATAGCTCACGCACAGTGCCCACGAGCAAGATACCCTCCATCCCACACATTGGCATCCAACATGACTTGACGGGGATTGAACTTCTCTTTGAAGAGTTTGTAGGCATTCATCTGCCAGGCCATGTACTCATTCTTGTCCGACAGCACTTTCTGAACTTTTGAACTCCACGGCAACTTCGAGAAGAGATTGGGCTCGAAAAGGACAAGGTCCTCAAAGATCTCTGTGTCTTTGACATTGCTCTGCTCTGAGAGGACAACAGCTCCCATGCTTAGCAAGAGGGACAAACGAACAGTCTCCAAAGGTCTAGGAGAGCGCTTGTACATACTCGAGTCGTTGCAATACCTGTGCATGTTGAGGTAGACCACACCTGAATTCGTCACCAGGCTGCGCCAACCCCCTCCCCAAACAGGAAACTCTTCAAAGTTGGCCAGCAGCGGACGGTTATGTGCTTTCTTCAGAAAGCCTCGACATTTATCTCGCCACGGGCTTCCAGTACCGATGAACCGGAGCTTTGGGCGTGTGCCAGCTGGCGTGAAGTTATAGCCCTTCACACTCTGCTGCACGGCATCATCGTTAGCACTTAGAGGATTCATGGGTGGCAGGAACCCTGGTGGTGTGTAGCGTACCACGCGGGCCTTGGGGGCATTGGCCCTTGTATACTCCCAGACCTCACAAAGTCCAGGCTGCATGTAGGTTGCTGGACCCTGCACTTCCAGTTCACTGAAAAACCAGATGCAATAAACTTCTCGTGGCCCAAAGGTGCTCCCGCAAAGTTCCAAAAAACGCTGGCTCTCCTGGTGCCCAGCGAGAATCACCACATCGCCCTTTCGAGGCTCCACCGGGAACACAAAGTTCACGGATGCATGGTGAGAGGCCATGAGAAAAACGTGATACCCGCACTCGGCGCTTCGACTTTGTAGCCCTCGATAAACGGTGTCCCACATTGGTCGGAAGACCTCCACGGCCTCATTCCCGTTATTCTCAGGCAGGCATGATAGTACAAAAATGTTGTACACGTCCTCTTCGGTGTGGTTTTTCTTGCAGCGAATTCCGGGATAGCAGCATGTAGCGTGCGGTGCCTTTCGAGCCTCTGACTGCACAGACTTGTTCAGTGGTGCTGGTGTTGGCATGGGTGTGGTTGTCTGGTAAGCTTCCTTGCCTCTATCCTCCTCAGCTGGCAGACGCACATCACTCTAGAGAAAGACGCACCTGCTTTACCCAAAGGCACTATTCCAATTGTTCAAGTTCCTTGATTGCTCTATTGCCATGGTCCTAGAACCTCTACTCGCCTTGGAACCATAATAACAATAACGCGTTTAATATTCCTTTAGGTATATAACATTTCAACCACATGTTATAATTCCGAAGGGGGGACTATAGAATAGAAACCATAGAAACCATAAACAAGTTTCACGGAAAAGGCGCAAGGACTCTGCATGCCCACAGCTAGGCAGAACTGAACTTCGGGGGGCAAGTGAAGAAAGAGTGGCGCATAGGACAAACTTTGAAGCTTCCCTGGACGACCCGGAACCTGCGCCGCATGAATTCAAGTACCCTAAACCCTAAACCCTAAGAAGGACCATGGGGCTTGAGTGAGCGTTCCTAGGGGGTGCGTGGAGTTGGGGGGTTTCGGTCCAGAAAATCTTAGGGGTCCCCCTCAAGACCCGCTAGGGACCCCCTAAGGACCCCTGAAAAACTTTCTAAGAACCTTCTGTGGACCCCCGAAGGGACCCTAAACCCTGAACCCTGAACCCTAAGCCCTAAACCCTGAACCCTAAACCCTAAACCCTAAATGGTTTGCGGCTCCCCCTTGAAAACCTTTCAACGCCTTGAAAGCCCCGACCAACTGCCATGGCAGTTTGGTTAGGGTTTAGGGTTTAGGGTTTAGGGTTTAGGGTTTAGGGTTTAGGGTTTAGGGTGCTGAATGGTTTTGTGCAGCCAGGGCTCTGGATGCTTGGCTGGCCAAAGTCTAGGAACCAGAAAAAGCCAAAGACCCCAGGAACTCAGCAGACCAAGAACCACACCCTGCAGTAGCATCCCAACTTGCATACTCAACGCCATGGCAACAATGTGGAGTGATACGACTTGCTGAGGTTTCGGGCGCGCCGTGAGCAGTCGTGTGGCTAGCTATCATGCGCCCCCTGAACCCTAAGCACTCAAGCTTAAATTCTTATACAAACCCTTCAACCACAAAGATAAGTAAGCCCCGAAGACCAAAATCTTGCTGATAGGTCCTGATAGGTCATTGCTTTCATCTTATAAAATCCTTAAGTGAGGGGGCGTCCAAGGGGGTAAGTTAAGTAACCCAAGGTTCCCTAATACTCCGTAGTACTCCCTAAGGCTCCCTCCCTAAGCTGCCCTAAGGTTCCCTAGGTACCTCACCCCCTTGGACCCCCCTCCCTTATGGATCATATAGCATCAGGTCTCAAGTCTTACACTTTCTGCAGTCTGCGGTTGAGGGAGTTTAGAGTTTAGGGCTTAAGAACTCCACCAACAAAGACCTAAAGCGAAACAGCTAACAGAGCCACCTCTGCTAGTCCACTAGAATCATAGTGATCTTCGTGATAGGCACCGCCCATGCGCTTTCATGCGTTGCTGGTGTAAATGCTGCATCACAACGCTTCAACAGCCTGCCACCAGTGATCCCTAAACCCTAAACCCTAAACCCTAAACACTAAATGTCAGTAGAACTATTTCGCCGTCCTGCGACCTGGCAGTGTTGGCAACTAAACACTAATCACTAATCGCTTTCCCCTAATACTAAACCTCCCCCCAGTACTAAACCGCTTGAGAATTAGGGGCAACTTGCACTCCTTAAGCCCAAACTTGGCTTTGGGTCGAGAGGGATAGTCTTTGGTCGAGGCGACGCTTACGTGTTGAAGCCGGTGAAGCCCTTCATCTTGATTGTCGAATCATTGGGTTGCGCCGGCTTGGCTCAACTGTTCATCGCAAGTGTTCATTAAATGGATGATCTTTCACCCTGTGGGAGGGAAAGATCTGTCGGCCCACTGGGGGCCCAGGAAACCGCTGCTACTTTCATCACAGAGGGCCCTCGTCTTGCATGGGCAGGTGCTGCTGTCTACTTTGTAACAACATCCAACATCAATAACTATATATCTGTGTATATACCAATATATATGTATATATATACACACACATACATACATACATACATACATACATACATACGTACGTACGTACGTACGTACGTACGTACGTCTTCGGCACTCTGAGCTTCCGGTGCCCTGAGGTTTTCCGGAGAAGCGCAACTTCTCCGGAGAGCTGGATGGCCACAAAGATGCCCATGGTTTAGGGTTTAGGGTTTAGGGTTTAGGACAAAGATGCCCAGGGATATGCCCTGCTGGGCCAACAGGAGTACGTCGCAGCTCGAGATTTCTTCATGTGCTCCTGCAAGTCTTCCAGCTGTTCGCCGATTCGCGAGCCAGCGACTGCTCACTCTCCTGCCACTGCCAGAACATCCAGTGCGTCGCGGCCTCGGCGGCGCCTTCCTGGCACCCAAAAAAACATAGTTTTTGGAGCTGAGGGCTGATGATGATGCTGCGTACATGGGCGGCCTGGTCTCTGGGACCCCGGGGCCTGAGCCCTTTTGCCCTCTGTGGAGGGTTTAGGGTTTTAGGGTTTTAGGGGTCAGGGTTTAGGGTTTAGGGTTTTAGGGTTTAGGGTTTTAGGGTTTTAGGGTTTTAGGGTTTTAGGGTTTTAGGGTTTTAGGGTTTTAGGGTTTTAGGGTTTTAGGGTTTTAGGGTTTTAGGGTTTTAGGGTTTTAGGGTTTTAGGCTTTTAGGGTTTTAGGGTTTTAGGGTTTTAGGGTTTTAGGGTTTTAGGGTTTTAGGGTTTTAGGGTTTTAGGGTTTTAGGGTTTTAGGGTTTTAGGGTTTTAGGGTTTTAGGGTTTAGGGTTTAGGGGTCCCTGAAACCCTAAAAGGCCCTAAACCTAAGCCCCATAACCCTTCAACCCTCAACCGACCCGAAGCCCTATAACCCTTCAACCCAAACCTATACTCCCCCTTTTAACCTTCAAAATATAATATTCCCTTGGGTGTTAGATAAATACAACTAAAAAATAGCTCCTAAGAGGACTATACTAAACCCCAAGCCCTAAACCCTAAACCCTGAACTCTAAACCCTGAACCCTAAACCGTGAACCCCAAACCCTAATTGGGGTTTGGGGAGTTGGTGTGGTTCAGGTCGCGGGCCTCTGGCTTGGGAGAACTAGCAGCGTAGGGGTCGACAAAGTGGGAGGAGCTTTCGGGGTGGGGGAGGGGGGTTATAGGGTTAGGGTTTAGGGTTTAGGGTTTAGGGTTTAGGGTTTAGGGTTTGAGTTGAGGGTTTAGGGTTTAGGACCCCCTAGAAACTACTGTGACGACAATAAGACAAAAACACTTTGGCGCTCGCAACGTGCAAGAGTTCTCTACCACCTGCTTGCTTCAGTTGTGCCCTAACATTTTCACCTCTGGCCTACCGAAGATCGTGACAAAAGTCTGATACCTTCGCCGTGAGTTGGCACTGTTTCAGCCTCTGGGTCTGGAGCTCGTATCACAGTGGTCACTGTTACCCTAGTAATGGCATACCCTAAGGGTTGAAGGAAACTGAGTTGGGAGCGCATTGCTGCTGGGAGTGCGCATCTACGAATGTTGTGGATGCGGCTTAAAAATACCATGTCAGAAGCGCAAGTTGAAACAAAACACTTCGCCTCGCGGCTCCCACTTCAGCAGGTCCAACTTGCCACTGTAATTCACCAACACGGGGAAGGCCCTGCATGCAAACGGGCCGCAAACATGTCTGGCCAGCTGTGTGGACTCAAATCTCCAGCCTCCCTTCACTAATGATGAGGCGGCAATTGTTCAGCAAACCGGAAACCTGCCATGTGCTCATTGTCAGAATTACTGCCACCAACGAACACCAACATCGCAACCGACCTTCTCTCCCAAAGCTCCGAACGTAGCGCTCATCACGACCATTTGTACAGGAACGTGCCTCGCAACGCCACGCGCATGAGCACTTGATTGCAGACCCGGTTTGGGAAACCCGTCGTGCCTGTGCTGCTTCAAATGTAGGCATAACCTTGCCGGGGGTTGTCATCATCTGTCAGCTTGACACCCGCACATGTGACAATCCAAGCGGCGCGAAACTAAGGTCGGATTCCACTGACCGCTCGTGAAACTCGTCGAAGAAAATACAGCTGATACCTGCCAAAGCACGGCTAAGATGTGTGGAGAGCGCACGCGCACAACATCTCCAAAGCCAAACTTGGCGTCCCTGGAGCAAATCTTGCCTTCCAAAGTGGGGTTGTTGTTGAGCATGCGAACAAGCACCCCCTCGGTCACCACCTGCAGGGCGAGCAGCGTCAATTTGCTGACCGTCCTGCCCCCCCCCCCTTTGTACCATCATGCCAGCGTGGATTGATCTGAGCCTGCAATGTTCGGATCTGTCTCTATATATACATCCATATGATATACTGTACATACTTCTCAAGCTGCTACTGATGGAATCATGCTGCCGGTATCTTGATCGTCCAACCAGGCAAATCCGTAGCCTCCACCCGCGTTCGGTTGGAAACGACCGATTCGTGCCGGATTCGATATCCTGCTTCGTTCTGGCAACAATGCTCATGTGAAGCCATGCGTTGTAGCACCGGAGTGCCAACTTCTCCGAGATCTCAATGCTCTGGGTGCCTATAGTTTCGCCAAGGGGTTCCCCCCAAAGGTCTGCCATTCGCCTCAAAGCAATCATCGTGCGCCAACGAAACAAGACCAAAACTTGTTCGTCGGCTTGGCTCTGGACTTGGCTACGCTCAAGGCGGTCAAACGCCGGGGCTGGAGGAGGATCACCTGGCTTGGGCACATGCTTTCCCTAAACCCCGCAACCCTCAACCCCAAACCCTAAACCCCAAACTGGCCCCCCACCGGCAGCCAGCCTTTCCGTCCACATGGCCGCTTTCGAGCAGGGCAAGTGGCACGATCGTGGTCTTGCCAGCACCGGTTGGCGCCTCCGTCGTTCAGCACGGTAAACATTGTTTCATAGCACGAAACATACCAGTTGATACTTTGATATCCATTTGATTCTGACTGAACACGCGGTGGTGAGTCCTGAAGTCAAGGAAGCTTGAACCCAGCCTGGAGCACCAAGTCTCGCTCTGACTGAAAGTGGTCTAGGATTTCCGGGAGAGTCTCCGAGATGGGCAGGCTCTGGCGGAAGCAACACACGCTGAGTCGGGCAGCCTTCATCACCAAAAGCTATGAATACTAAGTCAGCACAGCATCTTTCACAACGTCCGGACATGCATGCATGGTGGGCGAAGCACAAACCCACAAGGATCAAGCCAAGCAGATAGGTAAAGGCTGATGCAATAAGTCTGAAACTTGAGAACCGTTTCTTCTGCAAAAAGCGTGAAGCCCATGGTAACTTCACACGTCCAAAAACCCTAACTTCTTCGGACGAACCATGACTGACATGTCCTTGGGCAGGCACCTCCCTCCTCCAAGGCCGCACGGAGCCTCAGAGGGGCCCCCCCTTTTTCAGTGGTTTCAGGGGGCGCTTGAGCTTTATTTCTGAGCCCAAACGAGGGTTCTTTAGAGTGGTATGGGCTTGCCGAACCTTTCCCGACAACATGAACAAAGCGTTGTGTACTCAAATTCATGTTCATATGGGACTTGGCGAATCTATCTTATCAAATGGGGGCTTCAGGAAGACAGTGCTTTGCGTTGGAAGGGGTGGGGGAAGGAATTCAAGAATGCTGGGCCTTTAGCTAGGTTCCTCCAGTTTACGGCTTGGGCTGTTTTACCGTCGGTCCAAGACTCTTGGGCTGAGTCCGGAACTCTCCTCCGAGACCTGCAGAAAGGGACTTCTGGCCGGCAGTTTGCAGCCAGACAGCGGACATCCGAGAACAGGTGTGCCATACTTCTGGTAGTTTGATTCATGGGTCGTGGAATCCCGGCTCCCCCTCAGTCAGACATTTTGCATGACGTCGCCTCCAACCTAGTTCTGGTTCAACATTCATGTTGGGAAAGCTGGGTGACCTTGTTCCGGTGACAACTGAAGTTGAACAGGTCACAGTCATCTATCCAGCATCTTGCAGAACTTTGCAACCGTAGACGTATCAATCCTGATTAGGGTCCCTAGGCAAGACAGCCCCAAACAACTTTGCATCCAGCACTGCACAGTTGCCAACGCATGCTTCTGTGAACAGCACCTGCCAGAATTTGAAACATGGCCCTTTCGAACACTTCGAACTCCAGACAACCTGAAACCACGAAAAACGGCGGTCCCGGCATGTCAGTATGTCCCAGTGCCCCAGTGCCCCGTACTCTGAACATGCTCTCCCTGCGAACCTTGACAGCTTTGACGCGCCTCCTCAGAACACGCAAAGGCGGGAAGCGTCTGCTGAAGGTCTCTCATGGCGTTGAGGTTTTTCGAGTTCACGCCTTGCGCCTTGCTTTGGGTGGCATAGACGGGAAAGCTTTGCCTCTTCTCTGTCTCCCTCGCCCACTCGCTCCGCACTATTTCGTATCCCTCCCTCCTCATGATCGTCCCTGTCCAACTAGCATGATGTACTTACAGACGGAAATGCCTTCATCCTTGTGCACGTGGCTCCGTCACAGCAGGTCCTATATAACAAAGGCCCGTGCCGTTGGCAAATGCTCTTTGAGAACTAATTAACCTTCACACTTCAGGAGCCGAAGGCCTCTGCGTCACCTCTGGCTCTGCGACGGCTGTGGCCTTTACAAGTACAAAGCAGTGCTGTCAGGACAGCATGAACATAAAATGCAGGATCATGCCCTGGAACCAGCCAAGCATCATGGCAGAATTATGATTATGGTCATTATTATCCTTCTGATTATTGTTATTACTAGCATTATTCTAGTATGATTGTCATTACTACTAGTATTCTGTTATTGATATTGTTACTATTATTACTGTTATTGCTAAGATCATTCTATTATTATGATTATTATGTGTCCAGTCTCAGCGTGATGGCTGGGCATTGTTAGGAACAAGGCCCCGGCAGCCATGGCCGCGTAGCCTGTGAGTTGCAGGCATCCGTGCAGCCACTCTACTTGGTAGCCCAGTAAACCAGTTTAGGGTTTAGGGTTTAGGGTTTTTTTGCCACCCGCCTAGCTCATGAAAACCTCGCACTGCAGAAAGTCCCTCGTTGCTCATGTCGTTGCTCATGTGTCTTTCGGAGTCGCGCCCCGTTGGGACAAGAATATCCTTCCCATCCCTTCCTTAGGGATTAGCGTTTGGGGCTTAGGGTTAGGGCGGTTAGGGTTTAGGGACCATATCATGATGAAGATACCCTTTTTTGGGGTTGGTTACTTTACAAGGGAACCTTGAAGCAACAAAAAGGGCAAAAGGGTGCCACTGGGCTACCAAGTCTTCTTCATGCTGTCAGGATCGGACAAGGCTAAGTTGTGTTGATTTCCGACCGTGCCCTTCCTTCGGACTCATCCTACTACGAAGCTTACTCTGACTCCTGACTCTGCGGTAACAATGCTGCTGCAAATACGTTCGTGGGGTCAGCCGAAACTCTACTTGTTCTTCATCATGCATGGGCCAATGTCGAGGTAAACCTTGTGCTGGATGCGCCTCGTGATCACTCCATGGGCCAACTCCAGATTCGGCTGTTTGAACTGCTGATTTGAGGGGCCGCAAGCTGGAACAGCCCAAAAAACTGCAGCTCCTCCCGAAACTTGAGGCCTCGTTGCCGCGTGCTTCGCAGATATGGCAGACCTCTAACGATGGTTGATCGACATTTGAATGAAGGATAATGTAGGTCTGGACAGAACTACGCTAGCCTATACGGTGCCCAACCTACATGGACATGGCAAAATCACGGGACGTTGGACAAGCAAGTGTGCAGTGTGTATTTGTTCGAGACGGTCAGGTCTGAAACTTACAGTTCCGATCTTCCGGGGGCCCAGACGCTGCGCGAGCTGGGCAGATGCTATCCTTGGTCCAGTGAGTGGCACTTGAGTGGCACTTCTGCCCCTCAGATCGGAACCTCCATTGTCTTGCACATCTTCCCACTGATCCACAGTAGGCCCTACAATGGACACAGGATGATACAGGAGGTAGGAGGTGTGCCTTAGGTCTTGTTGCCGCATCAAAACGAGGCCGCTGCACTCCGCAAACAACACGCGCAGAAGACGTGTCCAGACCTGCGATTCCCACATGACTCGTGGTGGGAACTCCCAGCCCCCAGGAAGCCCTAAACCCTAAACGGTAAGCCTTAAACCCTAAACCCTAAACCCGAACTTTGACATGGCTTACACGGTGTGACGGACAGCCTCTGCGCCCAGCCCTCGCCTGGCGAACGCACGTCAGTCAGAAACATGCAGCTGCACTTCCAACACACCCCAGGAAATCAATGTCATCAAGTGGTGTCCATAAGCAATATGTCAGCAATAGTGTAGCAATAAGGGGTATAAATTTGGTTGAGGCCGTTGAAGGCCGTGGCATTGAAGAGCCGGTGACGCCGTAAAGACGTTGCTGTTGACGCCCCGCGTGGATGTGGGTGACACATCTGACGCCGTGATTATGCATTGACATCGCTGGCGTGTTTGCGCCTTCGCATTGTCGCGCTGAAAGCCACGCGCGATTCATCCCAGAATTTACGACCCCACCGACATCAAGGTAATTGCGAGCCACCGAAGAAGAGTACGTCGCTTGGGTCTGAGTTCTGCACATGGAGTTATGGTTGCTTCCAGCATTGCCCTACATGCGCTAAGCAATGAGAACGTGCCGACGGCCTACTTGCAGGATTCGTACGCGCAATAAGGGGCAGCTATCCAAACTCTGCGACTTCCCACACACGTGCGACACAAGGTCAGGGCCTGGCGCCAGGTGTGATGCTCGGGGTGCCTGGCGTGGGACGGTTGGACTGCAAGTCCGAGATTCCTTTAGGGCTCAGTTTGGACTTGATCATCTTGAATACACCTGAGGCAGCCTGAGGCTTCACGACTTCTAGGGATTCTAGGGGAGAGCCGTTAAGGACAAACTGTTACACTGCTTGACACAAGACAGTGTATCCTTAGATGTAACGGCAAGTTCTCAGCCGGAATGCATCGTGCACTTTCCTGTCGTTCAACATGTGCACTAAACTATCGGAATCTCGCCAGGCGAGGGCTCCGCCCAGCCCGTCCGAGTTTACATCTTGCAAAACAAAGACATGCGACATGCCTACTAATCTGGGGGTTTACGAAAATAGGGGACCCCCAATATATAGATCCCCACATCGTAGGATCCACTTATAAAAAGGACCCCAACAAGGTACCCCTACTTTCGGAAACCCCCATATGGCATGTGCAAGCCGCAGTGGAATGCGGCAAGTGGTCAATGAACAACAGCTGGACGAAAGCGAAAAGCCCGGAGCACCGCCCGGCTGACAGCTGGCTAACCCGCAGCGGTAGTTGTCGTGACAAGGCCCTCAGCTCAAACTGGCCAGTGATGGCACAATGATTGTGCAGTTCGGGGGTGTGGTGGGTTTCGCAAGTGGCTTAGGATCGTCTATAACTGACTGAGACTGTGCCGCTTTTCTGCTCAAGTTCTCAGCCATGCAAGAACGACCCGCCGGAGGACACTACCAAATTCCCAAAGGTTGCTAGACCACGGAAGTGTCGCAATGGGGCCCGCACATGGCAGGTGCGCCCTGGGACAACGAGGCCGTGCCTTGGGAAATGGGCGAGTGATTGCAGATGCTTGCGCTTCGACTGCCTATGACTTTACAGGCTTCATATTGTGGCCTGGTGAGAAGCAACTTGGCGGACGACAGTGACAACCCTGTTGTTCGGGCAGGTTTTAGAGAAATTTGGTGAATGCTCCTTCCAACATGCAAGGTCTGCAGGATACGCCTGTTTCGGAAGACACAACGCGTCCACTGCCTCGGAAGTTCTGGCTTCCGGTGTTGGCCAAGGGGATTTGTTGTTGCCGTTCACCTTTCTTGTCTAAACATGTTGCGTCGGGTAAGCTGCCATGCCGCTCCACTACAACGAAAATGCCTGCGCCGACCCCGTACATGTCTCCTCTGGGAAGGAGACAGTGTGAAACCCTGTCTGGTACTAGCCAGCCACCCTCGAAGTTGCTGACAAGGCCGCGGCCAAGAAAGCCCGTCCCGTCGGCGTCCACCTCAGGGTGTACACCGGGAAGGAGCTGCTTTTTTTGTTAACCACTTCACCCAGAGAGCCCCAGGATCAGCCGAGGAATGACGCATGGCCTGCTGCTTCTTGGATGTGCCGACAAGTTTTTTGCTTCCGCGCGTAGCCCTTCCCACAAAACTTACTTCCTCCGAATTTGGGACAGACTGGACCAACATGTGGCCGAGGCGTTGTCAAAGCAACGGCTTCACATCTTGTAAACTGTGAGAGCCATCCAGTTCTCTGGTCATGAAACTAACTCGTCCAGCAGTACATTCTCTGGGCTCTGTGGGGACATACCTTTTCTGTGGACAGAAACCAGAAACGCCTAGTTGTTGGATGTTCCCACGGGGTTGCAGAGGTTTTCGAAGATGCAAGGTCCATGAATGCTATCATGTTGCAAGCCATCCTGACGTGTAGCTCGTGATAACAGTTGCGAGACCTCGCATGATCTGACCCACGCAAGATGAACACATCACATAACCTGAGTTAGTTCGGGGTCCTACGATAAGAATGGGTAAATCTGGCAGGACCTTGCCAGCCAAAGTCAGCTAACCTCCACTCCGCGGGACATCCACCGTAGGCTCAGATTCTCAGCTTGTTCGGCTATGGCCCAGTCATGCCATCTAGACTCGTGACTCCATGTCTTTGTTGCGAATTGCTGAAGGCCGAAGCTCAGCAAGTTGCCACCGAAATGTGGGCCAGGTGTACGCCTGGGCTTGGAAGGCTGCCCGAAGCGCGATGTCTCAGGAATCCATCTTCTGGAGCTGAAGAAACCCAAAAACACCACACCGCACTTGCAAGTAAGTTGTGGGCACCCGATCCAGCAAAATGGTGCGAGCAGGTACGCTTCTTAAGTTGACTCCAACCCACGCAGCCGAGAAACAAAGCTGGTCGCCGCAGGACATTCTGAAAGGTTCCTTGGGGAGTTGCATGAGCTTCTCAAACGACTCATCGGTAGCGAACCTTGGCTTGGCATTTGAGGGCTGGAGGACACACTGTTCCTGAGCGAGCGTTTACGTGTTTCTAGGCTGAAAGCTGCGCCTTGGTCCGGAACCCGTAAAACTCTCGCAAGCTTATGCGCAGTCACGCCTTAACTAAAGCTGTCGATGCAGACATCGGCAACAGAAAGGTGTCGTTTTGCCAGAAGGCGTGGCCGCGTCGTGGGACGCCTATCCTCTTTGCTTGGTGCTTACAGGCCCTTTTCAGCTACACTGCAACCACCAGCCCTGCCGAAGAGCAGAAAGGCCAAAACACGATTCACGTAGGTGATCGACTCGGAGGACTCACCTGAAAGCACACAATCGGCCAATCGGCTGAGAGCATGGCAAGTGGAGCGACACATCCATCAACAGTGTCAGTCCACCACTACCGAAGGGGAGAGAACTGCAAGCCTTCCTTTGTACTACTCCTGAAGGTAAACTGGTCAACTTTTCCTTTCAAACGCTTCGAAGTTCGAAGTGGATGTGGTGGCCTCAAACAGGGCTCACTGTCAACCCTCAACCCTCATCCATTGATTTCTGCCAGCCCCCTTAGCGGGGGTTTCGCAAGCCTATCGTTGCATACTTTACCCGCCTGGCTTCACCATGCGGATGGCGGCTTGGAGCTCGTCCTTTGTGACGTCACCATACCAATACCTCACACACTGAGTCTGCCACCTGACCTATGTAGCGTGGAAGCGAAGAAGGAACCATGTCACGATGAGGCTGGAAAGCCAGTGCAGCTCCAGCAAGAATACAATGCAAGGTCTAAAAACGCACGCCCCCGTCGAAAAGGAATGCCCTCGTACAGCCGCGCAGTACACCTCTTGAATCCGGCCGAGAAACACACATTCTTTGTCCGTGCCCAGCACTGGGTCGGTGTTCTTGTCGGTACCCTGGCACCAACAGACTGAACCACATAAGACGTCGCCATGACTTGTACGATGCAAAAGTTTTATAACTCAAAAACATGTGACCACAGTCGAAGCATGTCGAAGCCAAACGACGAGCGGGTGCCTCTCACACAGGCATCGGAGCCTAATATCCAAACTGACCGCTTCACTGCCACCAACATATTGACGAGTACTTCGGCTTGCAGGTATGCTAACCTCCCAGCGAAAGCATGACAACGTTGCCGCAAGTCGCTCGACAACCAGTTGACCCGATGACCCCAGACCCCACCCGCCCCCCACCACCCCCCATCCCCCCACCACCCCCCATCCCCCCAACCCCGCCCCACCCCCACCTTGGCCAACTGGGAGAGCACCTCCTCGAGCTGCTTCGCATCTGAAAAGAACTCCTGGTCCGGGAGTTCACGGGACAACCTTCCTCACTAGCCATACTGGCCGTATTGCCGCTGGATCGACTCCCATTCTACCAGAGCATATTCCAAGGGTCTCTTGTGACCTGTGAAACTCCGGAAAGCACTTTTGCTGCGCCTTGGCGCGGGGATGGACATATTGCTCCCAACGCGTGACAGTCTCCTGGCAGAAAGGTTTGCGCACACACACACACACACACATGTGGGAAAGGATATTGCACAAGCCGGAGCAAGCCAGGACGGGCCCGACCTTGACTTCTTCCTCGCTTCGACGATTGAAGTTCGTCTCGTTTCTCTGACTCTTGGAAGCAGCCTTCTTTGGAGCGACCTGCAACTCAACGTCGGTTTTACTCAGCAATCAGCTGGCAATCCATCTCAAGCTTGACACCTTGCTTCAAGACATGCGCGCATGCCATGTATTGCTGTGGTGGCTTGTTGCACCTGCACTCTTGTCTTCTTCTCTTCTGGCTTCCATCCTTACGTTACTCACAAGTCCAGCGCTCTTGCAGGCATGGGCCGGTGAGTGTCACAATAGCACGACACCACAAGTCCATTGTCAACCCTAAACCCTAAACCCTAAACCCTAAACCCTAAACCCTAAACCCCCTTTAGGCATCTGCAGCTCGGTCTCCGAAGAGCATGGCGAACGGATTCTCGGAGCAAAAGCGGCAATGTCCAAGTCCGCTCATCGTGCAGTCGGAAGGATGCGCACAACACAAAGGCTGTGGTCTCACGAGGAGCACCTCTCTACTTCTCCTAACCCAGCGGCTGCAAGGAACAGTCCAACAAGGTAATCATGCAAATGCCTGGGGCTTCTGGCCTCACTGCTTTATGCATTAGCTGGACATATGGTTGTAGGGTGCTGAAAGGTTATTTTGTGAGGAAGGGCTCAGGACTCACTCATACTCACTAGATGAAAAATTGCCTATCCGAGCTCCTTCGCCATTCCTCCTCGGTGAGGAGAGGTCGGCTACGACACTTTCTGCAGCCCCTTCAGTTTCGAGAACATGCTGCTTGCCCCAACGCTTTGCATCTTGAGGTAGCTGACGTCCTATTGGCGTTTGCGTGGGGGGCTGTCATCCAGGCCTCTAGTGGCGGACCGATCGCTATGGCTGGCTATGGGTTGCCATTCTCACAGCAAGCGGGTCTGAGACTGAGACCATGCGGATACCGACCTGCCAGCGAGGGCAGGATGTGAGCTATCTGCCACCACGTGGATAATCTTCGTGGCCGGGCAGATGCACTTCGAGTGAAGCTAAACCCCGAAGCAGTGCCATCCGGCAACTGAGCTAGATCAACTCTGCAGCTGCCACGTGGCCGTACACAAATCGTTATGTGGATTCTAGAGCTATGCTCCTGAAGACTGCCGCACATGTTGAGGTCCCTGGATCCCCCTAACACCTGCGAGACTATGACATGGCTTCGATGTACTGATGGTGCCCATCATGCTACTCCCGATGCTACTCCTTGCAGGGTCCTTCAAGACTGGGGCAGGCACGGAGTTCCAGCTATGCCATCATGGCCGAGAAGCGAAAAGGATGCCGACCCAGTCGTAGAACCACGTTTCGCTTGCAGCCGGGTCGAGAGCCGAACGCCCGCGGAATGTTTCTATACTGTCCGGTCACGTCATCTCAAGACATGGGGGTTCAGGAAAATGAGGGACCCCGAAAACACCCCCAAAGGATTCCCTTAGAATAAGGACCCTAACAGGGTACCCCTAATTTCGGAAACCCACCAGATGGTACATGCAAGATTGGTGGACGCCAAGAAGCACCATCAGCTGTGTCGCTGGTCGAACACTGACAAGAGAGCGTTGCAAAGCACCGGCCTTTTACCGTCCACGGCTGATTGCATGCAAGCTCCGGAGATGTGGAACTAGAACGCATGTCCAAATGCAGCCGCATCAATAATTCTACATCCAGCAACTGTGCAACTGGTCCAAGTAGTTGGGCTGATCATTGAGAAAAGCAGCCATACTTCAGGAAATTTCAAGCATCTTCCATGCCATCCATGTTCGCAGTCATGGTTCCTGGCTTCTCAGCCACGATCCACTACAGCTCAGGACTAAGGTAGGATTTGATGTAAACAGATAACCTCTAAGCAAGGGAGGTTCGTGACGCTTTCGGGCTTCTCCTATATAAGCACATGCAGATGACCGTGGGCCGCTGCTTCGGCGCTGAATCCGTGCTGGCTTAGAATGCGCGGCCTCTATGGTTTAGGCTTTGTAAATAGGGTTTAGGGTTTAGGGTTTAGGACATTAGGGTTAGGGTTAGGGTTTAGGATGTCATGCACCACTACAATGGGCTACAGTAGTGCCTGTGCCATGTCGTTGCACGGTTGTCGGTTGCTTGGGCCACTATAATCTTTGATAGGCCACTGCGTCTTAAGACGCAGTGGCAAAATCCAAAGCACCGCGAACCCTTAAGGTCCATGGTTCCAGGTCAGACTTCCACCAGAGATGCTGCCCATCCATCCGTAATGAAGCACGATTGATGTGACGCTTGAGTGCAAAGCAGAAAGCTCTAGCGTTTCATGAACTGGGAAGCAGCAGAAAACGACGACCACTGACTACTGACCACTAACGCATACTTAGGCGTTGCATTTCTGTCTGGAAAACCATGTCTGCACCTGGGCCAACAATAAATCAGAAGGACATGTGGAATGCCGAAAAGAATTTCAACCCCCTCGACGACCCTTCGGCCAACCCTATCTCCGAAGCGTCAGGTGGGGCGGCGCATCTGGCAAGGCAGAAGCACCTACATTCGTGTTTAGGGTTTAGGGTTTTTTTTGTTAACGGGTTTAGGGTTTAGGGTTCAATCATCGTGTGCTGCCGTAGGATGTGCCTGCCTGCTCTCTCTTGGGTACAGTTGGGCAACGTCTCATTCTACCCCTTGGTGTGAAAGCGGCCCTGAAACCATGAACCAATCCCATCTTAATGTTTGATTGGGGCCTATCGGGCCCGCCGTAGCTCTTGACTAACTGCAGACCCCACATCTCGAAAACCCCAAACTCCTCGCGACCTCAAGGCGCAGGAACTCATGTCCCAACAGATCACGTGGAGTACTGCCAGCATTTCAAGGTGACGGTCTCCTCAAGCAGTTGACGAGTCATGGCCTCAGAGGAGACATTTTTGTCTGGTAGCATGCTCGGGTTGGAGGCTCAGAGATCTTGCAGTTTAGGATCGGGAAATATGAAGTATCGGATGCACCATCTCATGCGCGACAGGACAAGCTGAAGTGTTTGCATTCTACTGAGGTGCACCTATTCCGAGCTTGTCACACCATGTATGCGGAAGCTTCCAAAACGTCGAAATGTCGAAACCTTACCCTAAACCCTAAACCCTAAACCCCAAACCCTAAACCCTAAACCCTAAACCCTCGTGAGTAGCGGGTGCGACACTCGCAGCATGCACTAACTGGAAGAGCGGCTATGCAGTCTCCAGACTCCCCATTGACCTGTGCGAGGCACACTTTCAACTTTCAAGAAGCTGCTGGCAAGGTTTCAGGGTTTAGGGTTTAATCGCTCGGTTTCGGCTCTAGGGTTTAGGGTTTTGTGTTGAGCCAGCAAAAAGCTTCTTGGGAACTTGCAAGACGGGCAAGCAGCATGCGTGCAATCCACGTTTCAAAGTGCCGCTGCGCATCGCTCTACAATCATGGCCGCACCTGGACAATCCGGTCATGGGGCTTGAGATGCACCGCTGCATCTGCAACATTCCTTGATATCGGCTTCGGGCTTCTGAAGTTCTGGGATGTTCAAGTTCATGAAATTCATGCCGAGCGACTCTTTTCATGATGTGCAACTGGTCAGGTTCAAGGCAATACTGGCATCTAGAAGGTCATACTTCTAGCGAAGTGCCTCTTGACATTCCCATGCACCGCCTGATTTTTTGGATTCTAGTTGCGCTGCATTGCTTGTCGCATTGTTACCGGCAGAGGCTCGCCATGTAGTTTGTTGCCTTCTTTAATTTAGTTCTACACTCATCTATCAATATATTATGGCGTAGTTTTGCAACACCTGCTGTCGCAGCACTCTTGCGTGTGAAGGGCATGTTGCAGAATGCGAAATAAATGAAGCGTCTTCCGTTTCCAAGTTCTATGAGATCCTCTGGCTGAGGATACATGAAAAATATATATATATATATATATGTATATATACATACACAAATCTTGCCAAGGCCATACATTTTAGTCACTTGAAAACCCGAATGGAGGGGCTTGCAAGAATTAAACCTCCTGCCCGAGGCTACACCACCTACACCACCTGTAGTGCAAACTTCCGGGATCTCATCCCCAGCCGGCAATATACATTGCAGACCAAACCAATATCAACAATGGCCCAATGGCTTACAATGGCTGTGAAGGCTCGTCTTCACGAGCACGCCGCTCGTATCCTGGGCTGTGAAATCATGGATCTGGGCGTGTTCCGAACAAGTTGTTCAAACACTTAAGTGGGCGAAGGCGGAACCCGTTGACGAGAACCGGCAACTGCGGCTGATGCCAACCTTTATGTCTGCTAGTGCTTGTCCAAGGCGCAAGCGCCTTGACTATGAGGCTGGGGACGACCTTGCTAAACCTCGGCAGCTATGCAAGGCAATGTTTGGCATTCAACGCGGGGCTCAATCCACAAGCTGCATCAACCTACCCCCCAAAACAGCATGGACTCAAAGTGCTGAGTACAGCTGCCCATGGGAGAATCCGAGGGCAGACTTGCCATCTCCCACAGCGACTTGCATTGATGCACACTTCAAAGGAGATAAGCCTGGTTAGTTAGGACCAGCCGTGGCTAGTTCGTACCAGCAGCATCTCACCACACGGAATAGTAACGAATATTAGCAGCTCACATTTCGTTTTTCCAGCAAGTTCTAGCCTTTGAGCCTGTGCTAATTCAGTCGTGCCACTTGAGAATCACGCCCAGCTTCTCCCCACGGGGATGCACGGTGAACTCCTTCAGCTTCTTTGACTCTCAGCAGAATCAACCCATGTGTTGTGTGTGTGTGGGGGCGCGCGTGCGTGCGGGCATGAGGGGGCCTTGCTGGGGACCCCCCCTTGTGAAAATTTGGCCCAAAGGAGGTCCTGAGCCCTTTTGGACCTTGCGTTTGGGCACAAAAACCGGATATTTCAGGGCCGTTTTGCAAGCTGTCAATCCTGACTCGCACTGTAGTGCGCGGCTCTCTGAAAAAGAGAGTCCAGGGCGTCAGAAACCTCCGTTTTAGGGGACACAACTCCTGCGGGCGAGGTCGCTCGAAACAGAACTCGACCAGACCATCGGCCGCAGAAACGGCCTTCAGCATCTTTGCGGAGTCGAAGAGCTTGGAGCCATTGACCTCTCGCCCAGCAACCACGGGACAGCACAGTGTGGCGGGCTTTTTCGTGAAATCACTTTGGGCCCTACCACATGGGTGAAAAATTACAAAACAGCGACCTCCAGCAGACGATCATAGGGCTGGATCTTCTGCTGAGCCTTCTGGTTCCACTGGGATGCCGCCCCTCCATCGGGCACCCAGCCGACCAACAGCACAGCGCTGTCTGTTGCATCGAAGTTCAAACCAAAGCCGTCTTGTCGCCTCCGCAGTTTGACTCTAAAAGTCCTTGCAGGAGGATCTCCCTTGTGGCAGATTTCGACCGGCAGCGGTCTGAAAGGGTTCTCAAACTCCTCCATCTCGTCGAGGCCCCTCCAACACATTGCGGCTCCCACCGGTTCCTCGTGTTGATCCTGCCGCCGAACACAGCAGCAGTGCTCAAAAGGGTGCCTTGGCTGAAGGCGGACCAGGACCCAAGACTCGTAAGTTGACAGATTGTAACCAACATGTGCAATAACACCGTGCCTCAACATGTTTTAACCGCCCTTCCAGTAGTGAGTATACTGCAAGAGATGCAAGATGCAGTAAGTACCCGTCCTGCCCACAAAGACACAGACACAGAGACGCTCACGCAGACACAGACACATACATGCACGCACGCGCACGCGCACATGCACACTTTCAGCTGGGAGCATCGTGAATCGATGACCGCCAAAGAGGCGGGGGGGGGGGGGGGAACATGCTTCATGTAAGTGCAGGTTGCGTGGAACTCATTTCAAGCAGGCCATGCGAACTTCAAATCTGGTTTAATTCAAATTGAATTTCATCGATGTGCCACCAGCATGGCGGGTGGCATCCGTCCTGGTGTATGCTGAATTGGCTGCGCTTAGCATGCCTTCACGGACTCTTCACGGCAAGCGCCTGGCGACTTGCTCTTTCACGTATCTTCACGTCATCCACCACCACATGCCGGTTCACGTAAACATGAACGAGATGCATCACTGGCTAATTGCGAACACTGATCTCCCTCAGATCTCCCTCAAATAGTGTTCAGCTGCAAGCCGGCTGAGTCTGCATCTCTGTTCATGTCGCAGAGCGAAGCAATCCAACTTGCTGAGCCGGGGACCGCTTTGTTGGGACAACAGCGAACTGAGGATGTATCAACGCACAGCGAAGATTCTAGATCCTCAATGTACTTTGTCATCACTGCAAGTACAGGTGGTTGATGAGACCGCCCTTCCCCCAAAGCACCATAGCTTCGTGCGTCAGGCAGGTGCACTGGGCCTGCTGCCCCTGCATTGTAAACTGAACACTGAAAGCAAGCTTGCAGCATTTCAGGAGGGAGTCGCCCCACTCACCCGTGTGCTATAGGATGTTTCAGACACACACACACACCACGCACAGACAGAGAGATGACAGTCAGTCAGACAGACATAAACTTCATCTAGCCAGGCAGCATGGATTTGCTGCCCGTGTGGTCAAGGTGCGCGACTGCTGGCGCTACGCCATAACTGCTTGAGCTGGTGCTCTCCATGCGCACACAGCATGCACCAACCGACCAACATAAACGTCAGAAACAGACTCTGCGGTCATGCCCCACATTGCACGGCATCCACGCAGTGCCAGGCACTACAGGCTATTCACTCCTGTTTTCGGGCGTAGAGTCGTAGAGGCTATACATGCGAGGATATACATGTCGATCACGGCCCAAGCCATGCAAGGCGATCGCCCATGGCAATCTTCCAGAACTCCTGGCCAGACTTTTTAACATCATGATGCCGTCGTGGTTGATGGATGCTCATGGGTCGACCTTCGGCCGTGCAGCTATGCTTGGAGACCTCGACGCATGCTTGGGAAGCTTGCTTGGCAAGCCTTCGCACACACACCTCACTTAAAAGGAAGGCACCAGCTCGACTCGGCGGCTTAGTCGCTCTGGAACTCTGTGCACCGTGCAGCAGAGCGAGGCTGTGCCTAGAAGATTCCTGGAGGCATGAACGACCTAGGACCTAGGACCTACAACAATGAGAATCTACATCATCTGCTTTGGAGAGTACGCTCTTTGCAAGCTGCCACTCTGGATGGCACCCTACCGCCGGACTGTTGATGGCGAAAACGGTTGCTGAGATTCTTGCACAAACTTTACGAGGGAACAACATGGATGTCCTCTCCACGGCCAAAAAACGGTCTGCAGCTGCAGAAGGCCCTTGACTCTGACAGTCGACATTGACTAGTCAGTAAACGAGTGCTTTCTTCTACGAGTACTTTTGCACCCATGCCATAACCTGATTCTTGGATCCACACGCAGACGAAGCGATGACCTATCTTCTTAGGAGACCGAACTTCAATTCATCGGGAACCGTTTGAAGCCCAAATTCTCGCACCCTGTGTGGCCATGATCCCTGTGTACAACTCGGTGTAGGGAAGCTTCTGCATTCGCCTGTGGCAATCACTTGGGCTTCGGCTTGTACTTCTCAAGCACCTGGAACCTCAGCTCTCCTTGTCTTGGAGGAGACAGCAATCGGCTTCCCTACGCGCAGGAATGAAGGAAGACCCGTGGGAATGTCTGCCAGCAATCATGTACATCATCATAACACTGCCCAACATACTCAAGCATAAAAGCCATCCTGTCTCTGCAACGAGCCCCGCTTTGAATTTCTAAGGCCGCTGCTCGTTTGAGGAGATGTCGCCGTCGTCGGATCCATCCAAGAGAGCAAAAATCACCCTGAACATCGCCACACATGGGGGGTTTCCGAAATTAGGGGTACCTTTTTGGGGTCCTTACTATAAGGGAATTTTACTATTTCGGGGTCGATTTTACCACATTGGGTGCGAAACACAGGTCGAGAAGCATAGTGACTTTGGTGATGGAACTTCATAGGGAGATACATTGATGATAACGATTTGCGCATCGGTTTGCGCATCGGTAAGGGATCTACAGTCGATGTTGAACATGGCAATGCGCAAACAGATGCAAAGATTGATAGACAGACAACTACACAAATATAAAATGAACAGATGCCAACATAGAATGCGTGCATTGCCCGGCACAGGACCATATGCCATATGCACATGCGGACTAACTCCACAAACAAACCAGTTTGCGGCAAGCCTTTGTCGTGCCAAGACCTGTATTGTTCTTGGTGGGCACAAAGCTATGTTGGAGTAGATGCCGAAATGCACTTGCGCTCTGAACGAGTGGGTGTGTCCAACACTGCGAGTGCTGCAATGCAGGATGCTTCCTGTGTGTGTGTGTGGCGAATGCTCATGCTGCATTCCTGAGCATTGCGGCATGGCTCCCCAGCCTGGCAGGACCAAAATAACCGATCTTCTCCACCTCGAAAGGTGTCAGCACAACATCTGCCACTGCCAATGTACTCTCAAGGCTGAGCTTTGCCTCTGTCTGTAGGAGCAATTTCTAGATCACGCCAATGTTGCAAAGCGTCATGCCACGCAAGCAGCTAGCACATTCAAACTGATCTTGCAAAGCAGCCGCCTCCTCCTGGTGACTTCTGGCACTTGCAAGATTGAGGAAAATGGACTCAGCCCGACTCAGGCTCAAACTGCCTCAAACCACTCCTCCTGACATGCAGCTCGGGTGCTAAGTCAGATTAAGGCGGGATTCGACGGACATTCCAAGCAAGGTTGCCAGCTTGCAAGAAGTCCTAGCCCTGCAGTGTAGTAGCTGAAACACACCATACCAGCAATGTTGCTGCAACCAACCAAACCCAGCCCTGGAAGAAAAAATGCCGGAGCCAGTCAGAGCAAACCCTTTTTTGTGAACCCCCGAAATTATGTCAATTCCTACCAATTCCTCAAGGAGATGGTGCCTCTTAAACTAAAAAACAGGCATGAATGAGCAGCCATCCCTTTACATATGCCCTGATGCGAGAGAGCGCATCTTGCCTCTGAGAGCTCGCCACTCTGGTCGTCATCCAAGGCCTGCTTTCTGACCCCGAGCTGCAAAAGTGTGGGGTTCTTTGTTTGAAGAGAATGCGAGTTTATGTGAGCTTATGTGAGTTTGGGTCCTGGGGACGGGATGAGAGCATGCAGGACCGGAGGCAGAAGTGATTCAGGCACACAGAGAGCACTTTCAAGGCACTTCGGTCATCGCTCCAGGTCGGGGGCACGGCGTTCCAAGCCCCATTCAAAGTGCAGGTGACCACGCGCTATCCGACATTCGCAAGGCCACGTGATGAGCCCAAAGCGCCTCCCAGGCATCCTGTAAGTCCTTCCGAGACAGGGCACTAAACTCCAAACCGCGCAGCCCAATGGCCCTGCTAAGCCTGCTAAGCCCTTCAATCGCACTTGAAGGTTTGGTGGGGGCATCGGTGGTTGAGGGGTTGCTCTTCTGGAAGTTTGGGGTGCCCAGGAGCTGCTGGTAGATTTTTGATGGTTGTTGATGAAATTGATACACTCCAAGCAAAAGCACCGCACCGGAGAATGGGTTTCGTGCTTGTTGCTCGTACGAACGAGATTAACTTAAGTGTCTGTGGCTCCGCAGGGACAACCAACAGCAACCAACTATAGAGGGTGAGGGGACAGGATGATACGATCTGTTTGCAGATTCCAGTCAACCCTAACAAGTCGGGAATGTAGGGCTAGGGCTGTCGAAATATTCTTGGTTTCGGAGTTTGGGTTCACCTGCACTGCTCACGCTCACGCGCGGATTTTGATTTTCGGGGATGCAGACGTGAGGACCCCCTCCCCTTCTTGCCCAAGCAAGCCACCAGCCCCCACGCTCGAAAATGCCATTGAACCGAAAACCTGACTGAGCCATGCCTAATTCACCGATGCCAATGAGAACTCCCATATACTGGAGCAGGAAAGCAATGAGGTCATGATGAACAAAAACCTACTTGATGTGGAAGCAAAGCTCGACCGACGGTTATTGGTTCGGGAAGGCATGGTGGGGAGACAGTTGGTACTGGTCGAATGTGGACGAGGCAGTGGCGAAGGCGGCAAAGCAACGGCTTGAGTAGCGTGTCTGGTGCTACTAGTTGAATGAATTCCCATCGATGCTAGCAGTTGAATTCCGGCCGATCTCGATGTTGGGTGGAAGGTTGAAAGCTTGGAAGGTTCAAACTAAGCCCTTGCGGACCGACATGCGCTGAGCTTTCTTTTGGGGTCGCTCAGCATGTGACTGATCGTGGGCTTGATCTGTAAGTGTTTGGTTGCCTTGGCTTCAGACCTGGGACATCTACTTGCAGTGATAGGCTTTCGTCGTCTGCCTCGGAAGAATGCTGACTGGGTTGGGACGGCTCTCTGTTCTTCAGCTTGTTCAGTATTCGGTTCTTTTGGAGTTGAGATGAGGCTCCACTTTCGGCCCATGAACTCGTGGGTGCTTTCAGACTCTCTCTCGCCAGCATGTCGAAGCCCCTGTAAAAACTCTTCACCCTCCAAACCCGAAGCTTTTCCCCCAGTTACAGGCCCTGCCGGCCGACCAATCCCCGTGGCGAGAAACAAATCTTGACGCCTACGTTGACTCGCACAATCGCGCTTGGGGCTCTCGGACCGGATGCGTGGGCAGGTAGCGTAAGTGCGCTGTCAGACTACAGGCACTGCCCTCCGTCGGCCAGGCTTGGTAGAATTAGATAGGTCGTGGACCATCGTGCACCGCGGCAGACGTGCCAAAGCCCGCGCACAATTACAAGGAGGGCGGTTCAACGAGCATACTGTCTGCAGTTTCACCAGGTGGGAGACTCATGCCCGCCTTGATTACTGAACTGTTGCCGTAGTAAGGGGTGCACTGGCACCTGATGCAAGGGGTGATCGCACTGCTGCGATGATCCGTGCAGTGCCCGGGGTGACCTAGACCTAGCTGAGGTGTCCAGAGCATAACCCCTGCGGCCACATGGTGGTGGCCTCACTTAACCTGTAACTCTTGTGATTTTTGCAGTCTTGCTGATCCATGCATGCTGAGGCTGTCCTCACCGAAAGCAATTTGCAGGAACTGGACGAATTCACGAATCGTGAGGTCCTCAGTTGCAGTTGCGACTGCCTCCACACACTGGATTGGTATCACGAGATAGAAAGCTTAGACACCACATTGGATACTAAATTTGTGCTCCCTCAAAAATGGCTTGTAATTTGCTCAGATGCTGTTAACACTGAGGGCCCATCGAACTCATTCCAGAGTTGGCCAAGGACGCGCCATTCATTCTGCGAGATGCTGCCTTCTCCTGGCAACATATCCCCCTGTCGCCGGATTCCATACGCTCGCCCCGTGCATCCCAGCTCTAGCACAAATCTGGAGTGTAGGCGTTGTGCACCGGGGCAGCAAAGGACACAATGTCCAGTCCCAAGCCTCCTGGATCAAGGTACCGGAAGATTGCCGCCAAGCGCTGATTCTCGTCTGAGCCTGCATATGGGGGTTTCCGAAAGTAGGGGTTACCCTTTTGGGGGGGGGTTCCTACAAAAAAAGATTCTGGGGTTCCATTCCCCCTTTTTTGGGAAATGCCCATATTCGAACAAGCCTGAGTGGTATCGGCCGAAGATATGTCCAGGTTTCGTGCTTCGGGATAAGGTGCCCAACATGAATGAAGTGCCGCCTCACTTCTGGGCATGCACCGAACACCGTACTTGCATCTAGAAAACTGCTTGTTTTTCAGCATTGGGGCTTTTTTGGTTCTAGTGTTCCTAGAAATAGTGCTGCTGCTGGCGGCGCAGTAGTCTCACATCGCTTTGGGCTGTCATCTTGGGCCTTTGAACTTGCCGCACTCGAGAGCCACCAGCGCGGCCTGGAAGACACCTGAAGGGTTTAGGGTTTAGGGTTTAGGGTTTAGGGCTTAGGGTTTAGGATTTAGGGTTTAGGGTTTAGGGTTGAAGCAGAGGAGCCGAGGAGGCAAACATAGCAAGGATTGTCACCTGGTGTGCCTTGTTTTTCGGGGTGCAGCTTGCCAACTACTTCAGGCAGCAATCACTTATGAGGGCGCCAGATGAAACAGTGCTTTTGAGCACTCCTGCGCTGCGTTACGAAGGCTATGTGCCACAACGTGCGAGGCCCAACCGTCAAGAAGGCAGCTAAGATAAAGGATCGCAATGACTGCGGCTGATACCCTTTTCCCTAAACCCTAAACCCTAAACCCTAAACCCTAAACCCTAAACCCTAAACCCTAAACCCTAAACTAAACCCTAAACCCTAAACCCTAAACCCTAAACCCTAAACCCAAAGGGTGGTGCCATGCAGCACAGAACAGCTGGGACCGCAGCGGAGAGTTATCAGCGGTGTCTTGGTGTCACTCAAGCTGATAATCTTTCGGAAGGCCTCGTGTGGCATCAGAAGCACTGTCCTGGAGAATGCCCTGTTGCCGACGGTCAATGGAAAAACTCGCAGGTGGCTTTGAGTAGCCTCAAACGAAACCCATCTTCGTTTCAATGTCTCGCATGGTGTGAAAATGAAGCGCAGAATGCAACTAGCCTCGTCCACGTTGTTAAACCGGCTGATCAAGAACTCCAACAGGTCAAGTATGTCCTGAAATGCTAGCTGCTAGCTGTCCAGACTTGCTCTGAACATGTTCTACAAGGCAGAAAGCATCTTGCTGACGCCGGCTCACACTGAGGAGTGTAGAAAGGCATGCAGCAGACGAGGCAGCGGCTGATGGAGGCTCTGTGAGCCCAGTCCACCACATCACGTCCTTTCAAAAAGGTCTCTCGGTTGAGCCTAACCTGCATGATTGACGCTTGTTGACCCCGGACCTTGCTTCGTTGATACGATACATGGCCCTCTTTGATGCCACTGTGTCTAGGCAGAGCGTGCACGAAAGTTCGCGTGACTCAGCTAGTTTATGCAGTGACGACGGAGGCCGATCCCGCGCGCACATGTACCGTAAGCTCAAAGTCTTCTGCAGAAGTACTGGCCGGCTCCTGTTCGTTGATCTTTGCCATGGTCTTGGCATCGTAGTAGCCGTACCTTTCGCAAGCGCATCACTCCACGTGGGATGTGGGAGGTCCACAGAAGGCATGAGTCTCGCCAGTTCACATCCACTTGTCTGCTTTCTTGTCCAGCAGGCCAGTGCCTCTACTGCAAGGGCGCATGCTCCTTCCTAAATTGGGCTTGTAGGGTTGCTGTACGACGACGAATCCTGCTTCATGAGGTCCTCAAGCACAGGACATCTGTCAAAGAGCGGCAGCGATGAGGGCACGTTTCTGCCAGCCTGCGGCGGAAGTCGAAGGCCCGATTCTCAGGCGCGCAGCCTTAGAGGCAGTGGGATTCAGGAGACATTGGGGCTCTCGAGCAGTTCAGGACGCGGAGAAATAACCCCCTCCCCTCATACCACAGGTTTGCATACGTTTTCACAAGCTTCCCAGGTTTTCACAGATCTCCACAGGTTTCACAAATCTCAGGTTCTCACAGACAACTATTCCGTGAAGATGTGTTTGTTGACAGAGGTATAAATACGTATTCTAGTGGCATTAGTCACCACCTGTCCGTGGAATCTATCCGGAGCACTATCCCAGCACCTCCTCTAAAGATACACCGAAATCCTAATGGAACTGCAGCCGTCTTATTGAAAGCCCAGCGAATAACCAGTAGGAATCAATCAGGCTAGACATAGGTTCACTCCATAAATTCCAGCACAATTGATTTTTCCAGCGAAGCTGATTTGCATGGTAGTACCCACCGAATGTGCTGTGTTTTCCAGCGTTCGATGGGTTAGGTAATTGCGTATTTGACACCCTCCAGCTCTGCATTCTAGATATTTTGCGGCCGGACCACATGAGATCGGGGGAGGGGGGGATCGGGGGAGGAGGGGATCGCGTTATTATGAGGGGGAAGCGATTCCTCTGTTGTATGTCTTGCCTTCACAGAAACATGCGCAGATTGCCGAGTCGCTGTAGTGGCCGGAGAAGATGCCGTCTGACGGACACTGCTTCCAACTGGGCGAAGACATGAACTCTGCATAGCCCTAAACCCTAAACCCTAAACCCTAAACCCTAAACCCTAAACCCACGAAGTCCACTGTCAAGGCTATGCATCTGAATGTGCGGCCAGATGCAGCTCTGCAGCTGTTGCTCTTGTGCTCGAGGCTTGCTTCTAGCGGCTCTAGCGTGGCATCGTGAGAAAACAGAGACTTTGCCCTGCTTTCTGTTGACGTCTCAGGCCTTGCTGGCTATCGGCCTGACCCCAATTGACAGGGTTGCCCTTCGCGGACCGAATAAACAACTTCCAACTTCAGGTTCTGATGGGCATGGATCAGTGCATTAACTCGCTTCAGTCGGCACCCTGCAACCGGAGACTGGCCAAAGGCACCAGCAAGATTCCAGCAACATTCTGCGGAATTGCAGCCCGACTCAATGAACCAGCATGAGTGCACGTATAGGTAGCAGCAAAGTACAGCAATGCAAAGCAAGCATCTATGAAAGTGTTCCATCGGCAGCAAGCGCAATAGTTCCCCCTAACCTTCAGACCTGCTTGGCAGGTCCCAGGTCGCCAACACCTACTGAGTGGCCTCTTGGTACCCTTTTGTTAGAGCCACAGGGCTACCCCCCGTCATTTCACAGGGTCACAGGCCACAGGCCGGAATGAAATCACCGGACTCCATGCCACATGTTCCACTGTAGTTTAGAGACTTCGGAATCTTTTGAACTAGCATCATCCTGCGCTTTCAATTCCCAAAGCCGTGCCATTGTAGCGAGCGAGACAGTCAGCTGAGAGTATGTGATGTCTACATGGCTGGGTTACGTAAGGATCTCTGGTGTATCTCGGAACATCTCGCAAGCAGATACGATACAGGGGCACTGCGCTCAAGCTCCCAGAAAAGCTCACCAAATAGTAGAAAACCTGACTAAAGAACATTCACCACTGGTCATGATTTACCCCAGATGCCCCACTTTGTTTGCTTCAGAACCATGAAATTCCTCAGCAACCCTTGCGATTCATATAATAAGTTTACAGAAATAATTCACCCAACCACTTAAGCAAACATGGCCACGTGATGAAATAAACCTTCCGCGCAGTGTAGACAGTGTACGTAAACGTACCACTCACGAAGTTCCTAGAATGCAGGTGAAAGGCCAATAATTTGCTGCCCTCTGGGACCCTCACATTCCTAAACTCCTACAGGGATTCAAGGAGGTAAAGCGACAGCAACGCCTAACATTCATCAAATGGCTTGTATCGGAGAGCTTTCCAGCGCGTATCGGTAGAGCTTGAAGTTGATCTCACTGCTCACCATTTGCTTAGCCATCCGAGCTACATTGTCCTTCTCATCATTGACCTGGATTATCCTGCACAGGCATTCTCGCACTGCATCGAAAGATCAAGCCAGCAAAGACGAAGTGCAGCCCAAAGGTAACATGACACAGCGTTGCAATGTGCGCCACCTGTCGTGGGGCTTCATGTAGGGGATGTCGTCCCGCGCGCATTTCCTCGGCTTTTGCAAGCTGCCTTGAATCGGAGGCCGATATCCTGGAGACGACTATGCATGGTTCTAAGCAGGAGCAGAAAGCCATGGGGTTTGCATCGTCTAGCAACCTTTTGCTCCAGCTGCGCCAACATCCCTAGACTGATTCGAGCAAAGCTTCTGATGCACTGAGCCCGCCGGGTCCAACTTTCTGACTCGAATGCCTCGGTCTTCAAGAAACACAAGTTGGGCCCATGGGGATAGGGGACGGCTGTATGGATGATGTAGCAATACCATTGCCATGCAACGCCTGCTGACCCTGCCCCAGGAGATCTTCTCAGTCGACATGGCATGCAAGACCGTGAGTGGGAAACAATGCATATGGGTGGTTGTCCAAATTATGATCCCTTTTGGGGTACCCTAAATATTAGGTGCCGAATTATTTCGGGATCCAAAAAGGGACCATGACTTTGCTAACCATATATGGATGGCACCCGATCGAGCATAGTGAGTTCCCGCCTATGGAATCCCGAACGCAAACCTGGTAACCCTGGAGCCAGGTAGCTTTGCGTCATCTTACTCATCTCGAGTCCGAGGCCTAGCTTCTTGCCTTCCCCGCTGAGGCTGAACTCCCGGGCCTGGATCTGAGCAACCATGGAATTCAATGTGTACGGGCGGTGTAATGGTACAGGTTCGGGCATACCGCTCGCACTACAGCTACCACTGCTAGCAGCAAGATGTTGGTGGGATAATGTCCACACGTCATGTACCACATCCCTGCGATGTGCCCCCTTGAATGGCTAGCGCAGCAATAGCCAGGAAAGCCACCTCAGGCCGTTCAAATCGAAGTTCGATCGCCCCGTCGCACTCCTCAACCGTGTCACACAGTGATTTCTTTTAAGGGTCGGGTGCATCACCAGCTTGTGTTTTGGCATGCGTCTTGCATTCTGGACCAGGGAGTGATTCCTGGAGTCTCTTTCATTAACAACCGCGCTTACACCTGAGGCAGAATACCAACCTTGCGCCCATGCTAGCTTGAGAGCGTAACGCTATTGCACGCCCATGTCGGCCATGCCAAGCCAGAACTGTCTGCGACGAGCTCCTAGACTCTGGCCATTTCCCTGATCTTGCCCGAATGCCGTGCGTAAACTTTACCGAAGTGATACTCTGGCGAACCATATGACTCGTTTTGAATGACCACAAACCTTCACCCGCAAGAGCCCGTCGGCGTCAGTGCTTGGGTTGATGACACAGGTTCTTCTTCACGGCACAACAGAGTCTGATTCAAACTACTCATCCCCCAAGTACAATGCGCTAGCTCTGAAGCAGTAGACTCTCTAAAGCTTTCACTCTCATGAAAAACATGGCCTGCAGCATGTCCACGAGCTCCACTGAGGCTAGGAGACCGCATCCGTTGATTTCAAGAAGCCGGTCGAAAGGCCTTTGGCTTTATCATGGCCGGATGCACTTCTATTGCAGATGAACTATTCAAAACTAACCGTACATAGCTGTCAAATGGCCGAACCTTTAGATGCGTGCGAGCTAGAACTGCTACTCATAGACAAGGATGTGGAGGTAAACATGAATACACTCGCCGCTGTACGAGGAGTCGCGCACATGTTTTGCTTCTTCTAAGTCGAGCACGCGCCAAATCACATAAACTGATTACACCACTAAATCCCCGATGATGGTGATGATACGTAATCACGTAACCTCGTGTGGTGGCTTTTGCACTCCTTTGCGTCTCACATTGCATGGCCCTACATCGGGGTCCCGGCATTCGACAGCGAAAGCATTCGATCGCGCTAGCTAGCGACGAGCAAACAACGGTCACAATTTAAGCATCAATGACAGTCCAATTTTGAAAAGTTGCACTTTACTGAAGCAGGCAAGCTTCAACCCAGCACCTACCCGAAACTTTGTGCCAAAAGCCCCGAACTAAGCTCAGGAGCCGGATGTTCACATCCTCGGCTGCTGCGCTGTTCCAGCGGACCGCAAGGCCGCTTCGGCGGACTTGACCTCGGCTCAACTTCAGAAAAACCATGGAGGCTTGGAGTTTGGCACGCAAGGAGCAATAGAAGAGACGTAGCAGCAGCAGTAGAAGCAGCAGCAGCAGCAGTAGCAGTAGTAGCAGAAAATTAAAAAAATAAAAAAAGAACAGGGACTGTGCAATCAGACGGCCCATACTCCCAGAGTCCCAGCAAATTGACTGCCTCTTCCGGCTTTACGAACGGAAAATGAGGCACCGTGGGAGAAAAAGCAGCAAAGTCGTGAGCTCTCGATTGATCTTGATGTACAACAGTTCTTTCAAGTCACAGGGAAGCACAAACAGTCATTGAACCTAAAACATGCTAGAACATTTTTCTGAGCAAATCGGAAAGCACCAGGTCACGAAGGCCTGGACCGGCCCGAGATTCAACAGGAAGAGTCTATATTCTGGCAGGCGTAGACCCCAAAAATTGACTTTTATTTTTTGTACACAAATGGAGCAGGCTCTCGAGTTTTCGCGACTTGTGCTTCAAGCAACTTTGGAAAAATCGATCCAGCTCGGAGATCTATGAGGACTGGGCTGCCAGAAATGGTTAAACTTAGGTTTTTGATTTGGAATTTCGGCCGCCTCGAGGTTGCGTGACTTGATGCTTGCGGATTGTGTGAAACATCCGAGGCGGCTCGAGCGCTTAAAAACAATCAATTCTTTTCTTGGCATCTATAAGGATCGACGGGGACCATGGGTATCCAAGTCATACAGGAGGAGCGAAGTAGTAGTAGCAGCAGAGCACCCGACAGAATCCGGATGAACGGAATGCAGACAGGTTATGGCAAAGTGTCACTACCGCACGTGCTTGAGCGCGAGCTGCAGAGACTGAGGTACTTAAAAATCGTTGCAAATGCAACCGTAGCCAAGTAGAAAAGGAGAGGTTGGTTGAGGATTCTGGAAGACCTTGGGCGCGATTACGTGGGCCTGGGGGAAGAATGTGCCCAGCATTCCATTCGCAGGATTTGCCAGAGTACGTACGTAGCGAAATCATGGCAACTTGCAGTTGTCAAAGCTTCGCACAGGATTTGGGACTGACGCCACCCAGCGGCTCACCAGTAAAATGCTCGGGTCCAGCGTATCAAAATCCAAGCCGATATCGTCTCCGTCAACCTTCGTGAAGTTGACAAGGAAGGTGCGCTCCTCCCAAAGGCATGTCGTTGCCTTTCAGCTGCCTAGGTTGCCTAAGTCACGCACGGCAGTTACACTGCAAAGGCTCTCAACCCATGACATACGGCCGTTCCTCTGTGCTCCCTTAGAATTGGCAAGCAGCCCGCACGATGCTAGCTTTGAAACACGCCCGGCCGCTGGGCTCCGGCACATGTAAAAGACATTTTTGGGTGCATGTCCTGGGATATGGGCCAAAATCGGTAACCTCACACAAGCTACAATCACACCACATAGCAAGCATGATTCCATTGCTGTGATACACGCCAAAGAGCTGTGATTGCCGACTAGAACTGAGTCTTTTTTAAGTGCTCAAACACGCCCTCTTCTCCTGCGGCATCCAGCCCGTCGGTTTTGAGGCCACGGAAAACGTACTGACATTTGTGGTCAACTCTGGTGGGTCCTCAGCCAGGGCTGCAACAAGGGCAACCACAGCCAGGGAAAAACAAAACATCAAGACCAACGCGTGAACCACATTGGAAAGTTTGTGCGTTCAGGTGTGCGACTGTCAATCTGTTTTGGACCCTGTTCAGCCCGGACCCCATCTAGAAAGTAGGACTGTCCACAGCCTCAGTACAAGGGAAAGGGGGAGGGGGGGGAGGGCACCGTAGAAAGCACACTTGTCAGCCAGGAGTCTCTGCTTTCTTCTTTGGGGCTGCCACCGTGCGACCTCGCCACGGCAGGAGTTGCAGGCTGCGAAGGCTCCGGTGGTCGAAGCGGAGCTTCCTCCTCCTCAAAGGCAGGCACCACCAGCGAGCGCTGCGGCCTGGAGGGTGGCGACCTTCTGGCTTCCATCGGCTGTAGAGGCGCCACAGGGGCTGTCAGTTCGGATGGAGGCGAGGGTGGAGTTTCGTCAAGATTGCCGACGGCTCCATAGAGAGGTTTGTAGGAGCTCCTCTCTGCCCTGCGGAAGAAGGCGGGATTGTCACTCCAGACAACCTCTACCACCTCGTTGCCTTCGGCGTGGCAGCAGCATTCCGTGCTGAACATGGCCGGATGCAAGGCCTTGGCAGGGCGATACATGCCTACGAGCTGCTTCAACGACTGGCGCTCTCTGGACACTTCAACTCCAGCCGTCGGGAAATGCAGGTTTCTGTGATACCATGAGCTCTAGCAAGCTCCCCGGCTTGCCCTCCGGAAGGGTGTGGGATGGGTGCTGAATGTCGACAATCCTAGGTGAGTTCGCCTACGTGTGAATTGCACCTGGGCAGCCTAGTGTCAGCCAAGTAGCGGGCTGCGTTTCATAAGCCCCCTGTTACCTATCCGAGCCCATCCGACCCCACAAGCTGCAAAGGGCCGCCAACAAAAGGAAACCAAGGCACCCCAGCCGGCCGTACTTGCCACAGGCCCGATTCATCTGTTTGAGCCGGGGTGTTGCAGCAAAACTTCAACAATGAACTTTTGACATGCCGTGTCGTCTGCAGGCGTTTCTGGTATAGCCACCATCCCATGAATAGATATTGAGTAGATACCGACGTGCGATTGAACTAGCTAGTCCTTAATGCCTTAATAGGGACAACGGTACCCCCTATTCTAATCTCCATTAACGAGCTGTTTCAATAAGGGGTGAACATCCCAACTTGGCATATCAGTGTATCGCACCCGTGCTAACAAAGCCGAAGCCCACGGGGCTCCAGCTCGGCCCAGGACCTTGGCACGCCCATGGTCAGGTTGTCCAGCGTGCCTGCAAATTCCAACGTTACGAGTGCCATTCAGAATTTCCGGTGTTTAATCTTTGGGTTTTGGGGGGGTTGAGGTTTTTAAATCAATTTGCAGGTTTGGAGTGGTTGGCAGGCCTCTCTTTGGACAGTAAGGCAGGGCCAGGGGCCCTTAATCATTAAGTCATGCCCTGCCCCTGCATCCATCTTCAGGCTTCAGATCTGGCGCGCCGGAGCAGACGCGTTGTTGCATCATCCCAAGCCAACAGCAACCCAGCCAGGTCTCGCTTGCAGCTTTCAACCATCACCCTCCTTTCAGAGTAACCCCAGACGTGTCCGTGGGCAACAAACTCATTACTTGCTTCAAGCCTTGTGTGCACAGACTCAGACTTTGGGGGGGGCAGCGCCCCCTGTTTTTGAGATGCCTGGACTTGCAGATGCCTTTGCTCTGGCGGCGATTCATTGAGTCTTAAGCATTTTGAGACAAGTCTATTTACATACAGCCGACCTTTGTCGAAGCAGCGTTGTCTGATTCAAAGATGAATACCATAACACTCAAAATGCTGAAGATATGCTGTTTGCCGCATCCGAGCTCATGAGGGATGTTGGGCGGGTGGGGTTATGAACGTCCACCCATATTGCGAACACTCTGTCATGCGCTTTGCGTTTTTCGGCTTGAGCTTGCGCTGCTTTGGGTGTGTGTTTGAAGTTCAGCGTCTCGGGGTTTTGCTTTTCAGTCCCTTATGGTGACTGGATGTACAACAGACCTTTGAGGTATAAATTGGTTGACATGGACCTTGGTCGAAACGGCGTTTTCGTCCTCTCGTAAATACCGGGGTGTTCTGTATTCAGGGCATACAAAAAGCATGGGGCTTGAACCATGGTGGCGAAGAAGCAGACCTATTCCAGAAGCAAATGCAACAAAATGCGCATGCCCAGCCGCTGTTGTTCTTCGAAACTGGCACCAAACAATACGACAATCCTGGCATACTCTAGTATTAGTGTTGCATGTAGTTGTAGTACTACTACCACCACCACCACCACCACCACCACCACCACCACCGATGCCGCTACAGCATTGCCACGACTACCACCACGGCTACCGCTACGGCTGCTCCTACAACAAATGCAACAGCGACTACGACCATGGCCACTAGTACCACTGCTACTACAAACTACGAACTACGACCACCACCACCACCACCAACACCAACACCAACACCACCGGCGCCAGGTCCACAGAAAACATGACATCACGCCCCGCCGTCCGGCTTCTCGTACATGGGATCCTTCCGAAAGGCGCTTCTCAGAAAAGCTTTCGCGGCTTAGGCTTCCAGATTGAACTACTGCTTCGAGGGAGCGGGCATGTTTTAAGATGCGTTGCTCAGCCTGCAGCATGTCTGAGTCTTGGTTTCTTCTTGCTGTTCTAGCGCTTTAACCCACAAGACTGCTTGACATTGCGAAAGTCTAACACACTTCGCTAAACTCAGCCTAGCGGGAACATGCACTACACTACACTACACCCCAAAGCATGCCTTCCTGCCCAGTTCTCCTTGATGTTCCCGGGCATCTCCCGAAGCATCAGCTGCACCTTAGCCGCGTTTACCGAATGCGCACATACCAGGATCAATTGTGACACTTGTGCACCTCAAAAATTGCCGGCAAAGGCACGAAAAGGGATGCAGCAACCCGCTGTTCATAAATGGCCATGTTCAGTCTGAAGACAGCATTCCTGGGGCAACAATCTGTGGATCACAGGGGAACAGTGGTCGTGCAATCTGAACGACACAACACTTCTCCCCCCACACACCAACTATGCAGGTGCAAAGCGTGCAAAAGGATTCTCTTGGCTTCGAGTAGCTCGGGCTGCATGTACGGAAAGAAAGTGATATAACCCAGTCGCTCCTCAAAATGCAAGCAAAGATGGTGGGATGTCACGTAGGCGGCACGTGCACCATTGAAAAAATGTTGCGGGATGTGGGCATGGGCACTAAAGGGTTGTGTCAGCAAGGGGCAATGCTTCAACTATCATGCTTGTTTCGACCAGCCTTTCACATTCTCTCACATGGCGTGCTGAGACAGTACATGAAAGTCTCCTGAAGACGCACTACATCCTCCCGCTTTTCGAATCGCACTCTGAAGACTTTCGCGTTGTACTTGTCGATGATCCTGGACAGCAAGGCCAGACTAGTTTTGCTTTTGAGACTGGAGGGGGGAGAGAACGAGGGATCCTGGTCTGAAGCACATCTTTAGCTTAGGGCTCCTTCGACGTGCCCTAGAAGGTCACAAAAAACAGTAAAGCAAAGCCAGGGGCCTTGGCCAGAACATCACCAACGCCTCTTCACGATCCTCGTCATTGCGGAAGAAGCCCACCATCTGCCGAATGTGCAGGGAGCCTCACTCCCAAACATTGGGTTTTAGGGTTTTTGGGTTTGAGGGCTTTAGGGTCTGTGCAGGGGGGAGGGAGGGGGGAAACCTTGACATGCCGCCCGAGCAGCTCAAAAAAATCTGGTGCGAGATGATTTTCAAGACCTTCAGCCGATCTTCCGGCCGGCAGGGCGAGTCATAGATGGCCATCATGATCGACTGCGAGGGAAAGAGCGCTAGCATGCCTCACCACAACCTTCCGGACCTGCCTAGTCTGTGCCATGCATGCATGCGGCCTAAAACCTTCGAGCCTTCGCAAGCGAAGAAGCCTGATTCACCCGCTCCCCGAGGATTATGAGCTCTTACGCAGCCCCAGCCTCGGGCACTGACGCGGTGATACCTGCCCTTGAGTGTTTCTGCGGTGTTTGCTCTGGCGTGCGAAATTTGGCTCTGGCTGGGTCTCCTGCCGAACTGCACCCAAAACAACTCCTGAGAATCTGGCAAAGAGTGCTCTCACCGCATCTGGCTGGAATGCCGCAGCAGTGAGAATCCGGCAGTAAATTCCTCAGAGAATCTTCCTCCCTCCCTTCCTCCCTCCCTTCCTTCCTTTCGGCATGGCCGCTGCAGGTCCCGCCCGGGTAAACTGGTGGGTTGGATCTCTTCTTCTGGAAGGGCATGAGGGGGCTCCCCCTCCGTGCTCATGGCGCGCCACGTCCGGATCTCTCTTTCTCTCTCTCTCCTCTCTCTCTCTCTCTCTCTCTCTCTCTCTCTCTCTCTCTCTCTCCCTCTCTTCCCATTCGTTCTGTCTTTCTTTGCCCTCTGCCCTCCGTCTTGAACTTCTGGAAGACGTGACATCCTTTAGCCTGTGAAGGAAAAACACCCATCAAACCAACATTGGGAATTAGTATGTACGGCCACAATCAGTCCGAAAAGCCTCCCAGAGGGTGTCGCTGAGGGGTTTCGAACCCTGCTTTGGATGGTAGCCTTGGGCAAAGGCTGTGTGGACAGCACGCGCGGCTTGACGCTTGACCGGGGTGTGACGGGTCTCTGTTGGGACATCTAAGTCATCCAAATTTGCACGAGTCTACACTGCCTAAAGCATGTGCCGAGCAGGAGAGACAGAGGGAAGCATCAGCATGGTGGGCGGCTAGTCTCGCAAATGTTGCACGAGGGTGCTTTTGACACCCTGCATAAACTTCACTACTGCAGCCTGAAGTAAGCCCATCAGCCGTGACAGACAGCCAGCATAAGGGGCATGAAGGCAGTTTCTGAGGCTACGTTGAGTAGCCAAGACTTGGGATAAGCGGCTCGTGATGTAGTCACACTCAAACTCGCCAAACTCCGGCATGGCCCACTCCGTCAGAAGCTTCACCTCATTTCCGCATGCATGATGCAGCGACACATGCACAGTGGGAATTTGGTCCAAGTCACAGAGAGATGAAGCGCTCGACCCTGATAAAGCTCCTGGGCAAATCAACCTACAATTGCGTTACGTGGCAAACACCACCAAACCCTGTAGAGGCCGTTTTGCATGCTGAGCTTCATTGCGCAGCTGGGAGCGGTTGCCGCGTTGCGAGACATCCCCACGATTGTGACGACGGTTCACGACCTGAGATCACGACCTACTGCCTACTGTCAAGCATAGGATGTTCTATGGCCATGGCATCGTTTCACAGTATGTATGTAATATGTAGCATGGATCCACGACATGACATTGGCTCTTGCGATGGCAAGGCATGGGCAAGAGGGCTGTTGCTGCTAGATGGGGGAGGACCGAACTCAGTCCAGATGCGGACTCCCAACGATCCAGTAGGAGCAGCTGCTGCGCAACAGCGAAGTCCATGCCTGGGCACTTTCGACAGGGTCAAACACGATCTTCTTTAGCAACTGACTTCCGTGACCCAGGACTGAGACACCAGACGCAGTTAAGAAGGCAAAACTTCCAGCAAAGGTGCTGCTTTCCAGCTTCAATTTATACCGACCCGTCGGGTTCTGCGGGTTGAAGAGCAGAAAACTCTCCATCCTCCACTGGGTCTCCAGAAGGTCTTCGACCCGCGGAAAGAGCGACATCGCAAGGAAGGTTGAGCAGCCATCACGCTTGAGGCTTGGGATGAGGCGGAAGAGGATCTCATTGCTTGCCTCAGGGCAGGCCTGGACCATGTACTCCAAGTAGGGGACCTCCATGTTGAAATCAGATGCCAGGGCTGTCAGGAAAGTCTCCTGCTCCGCATGCATTCCAGATATTGCCTTCCTTGCGACAGTGGGAGCAACAAGCTTGCTTCCTCAAGTCAGCTTCCTCTCGCGATGCTTTCCTAGTCCTAGGTCCTAGAGCTCTTCCCTGATTCCCTCTCCCTCTCTTTCTTGTTTTCTTTCTTTTGTTCCTCCTTTCTTTATGTCTTCGGGGGCGCGTGCCCGGCAGGTGCCTCGCCATTGAGGCCCTTGGGTACGGAACGCAGCCTCCTACCAGTGCTCTCTTTCTTTCATCGGGTCTTGCGCTCCAGCCCCTGCGATGGTGCGCCCCTTTTGGGCATTTGTAAATACAAAGTGCCGAACAGGCATCAGGCATCGACGGAGGCAGGTGGTGAAGCGTTTGCAGGCTTGGTTGTCCTCCCACCCATGATGGGTTGCAGCCAAAATGGTCTCCTGTCTTCTTCTCCTCACCTCATGCTCCTGCGCTCGAGTCTCACTCGCTCGCTCTTCCTGCACTCTAGCCCGTTCTAGTACGTGCTGAGGCACCCACTACTCCTCAGCATGCTCTAGACTATCCAATCGCAGCTCTGAGCGTCCAGTTGGCAAGTAGAGGTCGCAGCTTTCGCTTGTGAGGTTCAAAGCGCATCATGGCCAAGTGGCCTGCTGGAGATTGTGGTTTAGGGTTTAGGGTTTAGGGTTTAGGGTTTAGGGTTTAGGGTTTAGGGTTTGGGGTTCGGGGTTTAGTCGCTCACTCTCGCACAAGGCAGGTTTGGGGTTTGGGGTTTAGGGTTTAGGGTTTAACTGGGCAACATCATCGAAGCAACACTTCAACACGAGGTTCCTACTTCTCAGAACATATCCAGGCCACCTTCGCTGTGCATCCTCGACTTTAACCCTTTGAATTCCTAATGCTGGGTTTAGGGTTTAGGGTTTAGTTCCTAAAAGCTAACCATGGGAGCAAACTCTTTGCCAACTTGCCAGAGGAACTGTTCAGAAAGCCGATGAAGTCATCGTCCGCCACATTCGACCAGGCTGCCCCGATAGCGGACTCCACGTTGAACGTAAAGGTCAGAACCCCTTCTCGCCGAACCTTCTTCAGAATCGAGAATGAGTTCAGTATGCAGAGCAGGGTTTGGCCGTCGTTGTCAATGTGCATTTTGTTTGTTCTGGCTGGCTCTATGTAGGACCTACAGTGACCCACGTACATTGACCTACAGCACCCTCCCAAGGCCCCCTTCAGGTCGGGGGACGTTGCCTTCAGTTGCAGGAACAGCCCCAACACATCAAAAGGATACTGAGCTAGTTTGAGCAGAACCTGCTTCTTTCTTCTTTCTTCTTTCTCCTTGCTGACGGTGTCTGGGTCAACTGAGGGATCACATTGGGAAGAGCATTTTTACTGAGAAGTGGCCTGTCTTGCCAAGTGCCCAAATCTAACCCACGTAGCCAGGCTTGGGGTAGCAGGCCCACGGAGGGTGGTCGAGTAGAGAAAAGCGGTCGAGTAGAGAAAACGCTAAAACCCTGACAAAAAGCGTGGCACGCTCTCACTTAATCTTCCTAATGATGGAAGTGCACGTCGTCCACTCACACGATGACCCACTCCATCAAGAACGACATTGCATAAAAGGGCGCGTGCTGTTGAATGTGCCAGAGTGTATAGCAGTGAGTAGTAGTAGTAGTAGTAGTAGTAGTAGTAGTAGTAGTAGTAGTAGTAGTAGTAGTAGTAGTAGTAGTAGGAGTAGGAGTAGGAGTAGGAGTAGGAGTAGTAGTAGTAGTAGTAGTAGTAGTAGTAGTAGTAGTAGTAGTAGTAGTAGTAGTAGTAGTAGTAGTAGTAGTAGTAGTGCAAGCAACCAGCACGGAAGTCCTACGGGTGGGGAGTGAGCGGCGGGGACCCAAACAGGTTCGCACCTTGTACTGGCCGATGCTGTCTCCTCAGATAACTAACCGACTGCAAGAATTGGAGGTGGTGCGCCCAACCAACGGTTGACAACCCACGCCAAGTGCGGCGTCCAACCGAAAACTCCTGCAACCATGCAACCTACAAGCGCAGTTGAGATGCGAACTGGATGGTGATATGGTGGATTCGAGTGGGTGATGTTGACGAAAGCCTTGCCGTGCTCCAGGTTGAACCGCTCGGCAGTCTCGTACAGCATCCTGATCTAAGACAAGATAAACGGGACTAAGATAACGCACATGCCTAGGCTTTCTCAGCGATTTGTGCTGGAAGTAAGCTTGGCGTTTAAACACCTTGAATCCCAAGCATCCTGCACAAACTCCGATCATAGGGGACTCCAAGGTCCAGGACGTACTTCCCCCCTGGGTTGGTGAAGGAGAAAACCTGGGAATGTCAGATGGTCTTAGCATGTCTTAGCTTTCAGTGAGGCTTTGTTCTGAGCTGCTTGGCCTCTTGGTTCCGAAACGGCGACCCAATCAGGAAAAGTTACAGGAGCATCTTCAGGAAATGTGATTTTCTTAGCAGATCTCGGCAGTATTTATTTTTTCGAGCTGGAACGCAAATCTGATACCTTTATCTCCCCTTTGGTTTCCACCTGTGCTGTTCCAGTGAAGCTATCACTGAAGCTGGCTGCAACGTGCCATACCAACCCAGTGCAAACGAACCCCCCCCCCCCCATCACCCTGCGGACCTGCGAAAATCCTTGCGTGCTTTTGGTCTTCTCGTCCCCGGACTTGCATCCTTGACAGGTTTGTGTAGGGATTAGTTTCCCGTCCCCAAACATCCTCAGGTTAACCCCTAACCCTTTTCTTTTGCATACCCGAAACCCTAAACCCCAAACTCAGTGCTTCGGACGAAAATGACAGCTCCTTCGATGTCCAGGCGGGACATGCTGGACTCTTTCCGGCAGAGCAGGCGCAAGATGCTCCGCCTCAGAGGTCGAACTGCACAAACTCTCACATGCGACACGACAGTCACTAAGAACATAAAGCCGAAGGAGTTCGCCTCTTTGGCAAGCTTTGAACTCCGGAGCCTGAACGACCGCACACCTTCTGCTGCAAACGCTGAAGTTTCGAAGCGTCCGAGCGGCAGCCCATGTATGCCCAGTGGGTTGTTCCGCAAGTAGAGCCGCGAAAGCATGGGGTGGCCCTCCAGCGAGTCCTGTCACGAAGTGCGGTGTTCAGTTCATGGAAGCAGGGCACCGCTAGATGCTGCAAGCTGCTACTATATACTCCCCTTAGAACCTTTATAAAAATAATATGTTTAATATCCTCTTGGGTGGTTTTATATGAACAAAAAATAATTCCCAAGGGGGACATGGTCAGGAGGGACGGTGATGCGGGCAAGCACCTTGAATAATGATGCCAATCCGTGCATCCATCCATCCAGGGAGATGTTGACCAGAAAACTTTTTTTTATAATCAGCATCTCAAAAAGCGTGTTCAGGAACCAGCATGTCGCTACTTGACCATGTTGCGAATTGGATTGAAACTAATCCAGTATTTCACAAAACTAGCATACGTACTGAATGTTCCCCTCCCCGCCCCAATATCAAAGAGATGGACCCTAACAGCTGGACAAGTCAAGCTGAACGGTATCAAGCTCGGAGTCATTGGGGAGTCTTCCGCACTGACGTCGCTTCTGCATGGAATGGAATTGTTACAGCTGCTGTTTGGAAAAGTCGTGTGGATCTATTTGGCTTGCTGTGCCAACTGCTGTCGGCTCATTGGATGGTGACTTGGTATGTCCACCAAGTAGCAGCAAATAGCGCGTCCTTACTCGCTCAGGTGCTGCAAGGTGTAGGATGTAAAGCCGCGATGAAAATGGCGGGCAGAAGCTGTCCCACACAATGGTTGGGATGATGTATGTATTCAACGAAGTGTTGACAAACAATACAAGGTCCGCTATAAAGAGTTGGAACCTGCCACGCTTTCAACAATGAATGCCGCCAATCGTGTCGCGAATCGGGCATACCAGAGATCCTCTCATAGTTTGCAAAAAGAAACTACAGGTAAGCGACTTCATATGACATGTGACCCGTGCTTGCCGTCTGCCTCAGCATTCATCCCCCCTCCCCAAGGTTCAACAAGTTTAAGTTCTTGCACAAAAAATGCAGTATCCTTGAACAGATGCCAAGGCTGCAAGCGCGTCCCCAAAGAAACGCAAGGTCAACACAAATCACGGAGACACTCCAGGGAAGAAATTGGGATAACTTTTGCAATGGTAGCGAGGGTCTGATGTGTCGACGTCTTTGTGGAGCATTTCGAATGGACACGTCCAGCTTCCTAGCTAGAGATGAGACATATCCCCTTGCCGGCAAAAGTGGAGGTAACAAGCAAGGCATTTCACAGAGCCCACCCCTAGAAAAATCCCAGAAGAGCCCACCCCGAGATTCCGCCGTTTGCCTGGGACACCCAAATCGAGCACATAGCAACACATCCCCGACGCAAACCTGAAAACTCAAACTTGCCCTAATTGCCGCCTCGATAACCAAAGCGGCACGGGAGTCGATGCGATTTGTGCAAATCGAAAGGCTCCTGGATCAGGGTTGCCAAAATGCTCCAAGTGATAGGGGGGAAGGATTAAGAATCTGGGCGGATTCCGGGTGCTCCACTCAGGCACACATGGAGAAGAGCCGGACAGGCATGGTGGGCCAAAGTTGGGAAAGTTCCCTCACGAGATCACGGAGGCCCGCGAACTGAATGAGCATATGTGCTCCGTATGTTTTGGGGATCAGTTCTGGCGCTCTGTTGCCCCCTTCGGTGGCCATTAGTTTCAGGGGCTTTGCTTGATTCAGCCTCTGATTTGATCGTGAATGGACCCCATGAAGACTTCCGGGCCTCAAGGCAGAATTGAACGCCAGCTTCTCGATCAGCTCTGAAATTGGTGTGTCTTCGCCAACCTCCGTTTAGGCCGTTTCCAGCCGAAGGGCTTCGGTTCTCTTGCTTGGCGTATGCTTTCGTTCGGCGCTACCACCATAGCAGATCCGATGTTGACCAACTCAGCCCTGGGCAATGTATGCTGCAGAATTATCCAACAGCAGGTGCATCAAGCAGGTGTTCTCGGCAATGTGATCGCCCATGACTTGAAACTCCTGCCCCCGTTCAACTGGAAACAAGCTCGAGTTCTGATTCAAGTGCTTCAGGCTCGACGAAGCATGGGAATCACGCCGCAAGGTCCTTTTTGTTGAAAACATTCCAGCCGATGTCCAGCTTTTTGTTGCTTCTGCTGCCTTGGACACAAAGGCGCACCGCAGACCCCCGGCAGACCCATGGCGCAATCTCTCACCAAGATCCCCGGCTCAGAAGATGCCTTAGGCACTCTTCTGTCAGGCAGGTGCCGCCCAGACCGGAGCGAGATAAACCAACAAACCTGGGGCGACGCAGCTCATCGCAGCTCTGATGATGATGTTTCGGATTCCACTTGGGTCACACGCAGATAGCGACAACGTGCATGCTGCACAAGTCCGGTGAGTCGTCCAAGGCCCCAGCTGCAGATTGCGGTGCGCCCCTATTGCTTCGCAGAGTTTCAGCTGGAGCTTCCTGGGTAAGCTCGGAGCTGCGAAGGTTGCACTTTCTCTGGCTTCAGTTGCTGGGAAGCAGAAAGCAAATGCCACCATCAGGTAATTCTAGCAATACCAAGAATTGCTAATACGGGAACATGTGGGTGAAAAGCTGCCAAATGCCCCATGAACTTCTTTCTGGGCACATGAAGCCGTCTCAAGCATCTGGAACCCGCGACAACTGGTGAGCCACTGTGATAGGCACTGAAGTCACTAAGGCAGCCACGTCCCGATCTGCACACCACCGAGGTTCAGCTCCCTGCACAGCGGCGGAACATCAAAATTTTACGCTGCCCTCTGCAGTTGCTGCCATGGAACCGGACAATCCTCGCGCCTCAAATTCCGCGCCGTGAAAGTTAGCTGCCGCAAGACCTCCAAGCTCTGCCACCCGGCACCCTGCCAGGACAAGTTCTGAAATCCACAGACTTTGCAAAGGTGGCTGCCGCTTACACCTATCATCTCGATTGCCACAAGTCTCAGACTCAACCAGGTGATGCCTGCTGAGCAAGCTCAAAAGAATCAGAGCAGTATGGGAGCCTTGCACTGCTGGAGGCTTAGTGAGCGCAGCCCTTCAGCCAAACGTGGGACCTGTCAAGCAGTGCTCGTTACCATTGGCATCAGCGACTGCGTATCGTCATTTGGTTTGGATCCTCAGGGTCAGTATCAATACGAGAAACCAGATATGGACACTTCCACAACGATCACAGCAAAGTTGGCGTGGAGCAGCATAGGGTCGTTTACATGGTTGACCGCACGTGTGTTGAAATGGATTTAGAGTTAGAGGATTTTGTAGCGCTGTGTAGGAAGAGATGTTCTTCTCAAGGCTGGCAGCAGCTTTGCTTTAGTGGTCCTTAGTTTAGGGTTTAGGGTTTAGGGTTTAGGGTTTAGGGTTTAGGGTTTAGGGTTTAGGGTTTAGGGTTTAGGGTTTAGGGTGTCGAACAAGCCAAAGACAAGACGGAGAAAGACAACACAAAAAGATGTGTCATCAAAATCACAAGGAAAAACCCGACTTTTCTGTGCTCAAAGTGATAAAAGACCCTGAGGATCTAGACCCCTCTTTCTGACCGCGGAAACAAGTCAAGGACCAAGGCTGCACAAGTAATCGACGAGGCATCGAGGTCAGTGACTTTGTTGCAGTATGTCTCGAAGCATGTTTTAGCTAATCACGAGCCGTGCCTTCAAGAACTGGCGCAGGAAGGGCCTGGACAGGAACCGTTTCAGGCCATGCTTCAAGCACAGGAAAATCATCGAAACTCCGAATCCGTGGAGACCTGACTCTCTGTGGGCTGGACTGATTGTAGTAGACTTCATGTGCTGTAGTAGAATTAGTGCAGTCTTCGAAATGCTCTGTAAGGGCAACCATCAACCGCAGCGATGTTGCAACCAATCAAGGTTCTATGATGCGCACGAAATGCTTCCCAAGTCGTGGACACGAGGCTCTCATCGGTGAGGCCAGAGTTCCTGATTGCTGGGTGCAGAGATGCCCCGTGCAGCATGGTCCGCGGCTGACATACCAGTCGGGCAGACGAAGACACACTTGAAAACAAAGGCTCGCCCAGCTTTCGTTCCGAGGTGCTGCTTGAGGCAGACTTCCTCGACCTTCTGCCTCTCGGGTAGCATGCCTCAAGACACGAACACCAGCACCGTACCAACTCATCATGTTTACGCTGAACGAAGTACATGTAGCAAAAATGTGAGAGAGCGGTGTTTCTGGCATGCTCCGACCCCAGTGACTCCGCCTGTCACAGAAAGGAGGTCCAGATCTGTTAGACCACGACGTGGAGCGTTGAGCTTCGAGGAAAAACCTCGCCACGACATAATATGATGCTAGGAGGTACTTGCCACAGCCGTTGTGTATGCCAGAAGATTGTGGTGGTGCCATAACTTTCGTGTTCGAGGTCCTGTGCCTGGCCAGTGGGAAACCTTGTGCCCACTTCTACAGATTTCCTGCTGCCGGATCAACATTCATCTTCTGGCATAGGCATGTGTGCTGTCAAGGATCCCGTGTTGAAGTCCAGGGTGTCTGGAACTGTGGCTCGGAGGTCGCACTCCTCATACCCGAGATTGACATCTTGCATGCAATGCAACTGCAGGCGTTGAAACCTTGAAGCCGCGCAGACCATGCTCCTGCAAATACTTCCGGGAACAAGCCGAAGGTTTCTTCGGCGCAACGCCTCAAGGAGCAAGTCTTCCTGTCCCCCCCCCCCCCTCTGGTATGATGCCCCCCCCCCCTCCCCTCCCTGTGGTTTGGGGTTTTTTAGCTTAAGGTTTTGGGGTGTTAGGGGTGGGTTTCCCTCCTCCCCTTTGTGGTGTGGCTGTGGTGGTTTTAGGTTGCTTTTGTTGGCCAAGTATGTTAATCACACAGCTAAACCATTTACATTGCCAACTTGGGCGAAGTCATACTATAACTTAGAGTATGATTGGTTAGAGGCAATCTGTTCGTAAAAGTCACATGTTTCAACACCCCTGGATCCAACACTGGCTTACAGTAGTATCATTCGCTTAAGGAACACCTTCAAATATGTTTATTGCTACTTTGGGTACACACCATGCCTGTAAGAGCGTCAGTCTACAAGTCAGTCGTTGTCATAGCTGAGTTGGTGGAATAACTTGCCCCAGATGATAAGAAGCGCTTTGAACTTGATTTGGAATCGTCAGAGTATGATTAGCTATTCGCAAGTCCGTCTTCATGTCTACTCTGAATCAAGATGTCCACCAAGCTGAGCATGCTACTGATGCTAATCTTGAACGGCCGGTTGATAGTCGTCTCATCAGTTTAAGCCTGAAATAAGTGCTTTTTGTCGACTTTAGCACACCTACACAATACATGTAAGAGTGATATTCTATAAGTTCCACTGTGGGATGT